CTGGGTCAGGCGGGACGCACAGGTGACCGGCACGGTCAGTACTAGTAGGCAATGCATACATGGCAGTGAGAATAGCATCATAGTCAAGACCATATATATCTACCCTCTGCCTAAGCAACTCCACCCAGTCGGGAAGCTCAGCCTCGTCGCCAAACACGGTACGCCAGGCGTCGCTCAGACGGGCGAAGCAGCGGGACGGTGTATGACTACGTGTCCCACAAGGCTGACCAGTCCGAGTACCAGTGCGAATCACGTACGAGCAGCGAACAGCACTGAGAGACCCTCCACTCTGAGCGTACCACTCACGAAGCTGGCGAGGCGTGAGAGACACGGGAGAGGGTCGCGGGAGCTGCATCTGGCCGCCACCACGAGTAGAAGCCGCAGGAGTGGTAGTAGGAGTAGCGTCGCCACCCCTACAGCCCCAACCAGCGTACCACTCACGCAGCTGCTGGGGCGTGAGGGACTCACGCCGGCGTCGCTGGGGCTGCATTTGGCTCCGCAAGTAGAAGCAGGAGCAGGACTAGCAGCAGGGAGGCAGGCAGCCAGGCAAGCCAAAAGGCAGGCAGGCAGGCAAGCAGGCGACGCGCAGTGTGCTAGCAGGGCAAGAGCTCACCAGTGTTGGGAAGAGTAGGCTCGGCGACTCAGCGGCTCGGCAGCTCGGCGGCTCGGCGGCTCGGGCGACTCGGGCGGCTCGGCGGCAAGGCGGCTCAGCAGCAACTGCAGCTCAGCAGCTCGGGGACTCGGCGGCTCGGCGGCAGGGCGGCTCGGCAGCAACTGCAGCTCAGCAGCTAAGCGACCCGGCGGCTCGGCTGTGGGGCGGCTCGGCTGCTGCAGGTGAGCGGCTCGGCTGCTGCAGTGGGAGATGAAGGAGGAGGAGAAGCAGGGGAGGCCACACACCTGCCACCCCTCTGCTGGCCTCTCAGCGGCCCCTGTCGAGGCGACCTGAGGGGGCCGCTTGCGGCCCCCGAAGGAGCCGCGACGGGCGACGGGAAAAGGGGGGGTGGGTGGTGGGGGCCGGTAGGTGCAGCGGCGGGGCCAGCAGATGCAGTTGTGGGGCCGGTAGAAGGGGGGACGGCAGGAGCCGTCAGGAGGAGACCGGGCCGCGACGGGGGCAGGCGGCGGGGCCGCGTAGAAGCCGGGGCGGGGCCGCGTGAGAGCAGGCGGCGGGGCCGCGAAGGAGCCGGGGCGGGGCCGCGTGAGAGCAGGCGGCGGAGCCGCGTAAGGGCCTGGGCGGGGCCGCGACGAAGCCGTCGGCGGGGCCGCGTGAAAGCCGGGGCGGGGCCGCGTAGAAGCCGGGGCGGGGCCGCGCGAGAGCAGGCGGCGGGGCCGCGAAGGAGCCGGGGCGGGGCCGCGTGAGAGCAGGCGGCCGAGCCGCGACAGAGAGGGCGGCGGGGCCGCGTCAGTGAAGGCGGCGGGGCCGCAGGGGAAATGGCGACCCGAGGGGTCGCTAAAAAAAAGGATCGCGCCTCGGGGGGGCGCTTCGGTGGGCCCAAAAAAAAAACCGGTCCGTAGAAGGACCCGCTCTATACCATGTGAGAATAAACGAACAGGGATGAAAATGACTAAGGAAAGATGGGTACAAATACAACCCTAGAAACCCTGTACCCCATATGTGCTACCCCACTATAGCCTACAACAACTATGTCATATAAATCTGACAGGTTGAACTCGGGAGCCGCATTAAGCTGTCGCAAGGCCTGCGCTAAGGGATTAGAGGCCATACGCACGCGATAGACGCTACATGGTGACCAGTTTTGGCAGAGATAAGCTATGACTATTGAGTGGAGTACTAATGCGGGCCCGGATATGAGTTGCCTAAAGTAATGACTGCGTTGAGTGTCTACCCGGTATTGTAAAACGGGAGACTCGCCTAAGCTTCACAGGAACATGATGCTTACGGAAGGGTTCATGAACCGTTGAGGATCACGAATGCTTCGATCATGAAACCGTGAAGGCCAGAAATGACATGGCCAGATCCCGAAGGACACAGTACAATCAACCTGTATATAAGCCTCTCGAGTTATAATACATGGCCCAGAAAATTCCGAAATTTTGCTGGCACAAATGATGTGGCTTCCTGCACGTTCAATTACACGTGCCATGGGGTTGGTTGGTTGCTTTTCGTGACTGCTTGTGGCAATTCCGAAGTTCACGCGAGAGCATGCGGCTGCCCGAATGACGGTGGGGAAAGGGCGGGAAAAGGGGGCTGGGGGGGCGGGGGGAAGGGAGGTCGATCCAATTTAGAAAAACGCCCACGTGGCGAGCAGGGAGCAATTTAGGTCGACTCAATTGAGACAAACACGATTTTCGCCGACGCGGGCGATTTCGCCTCGAAACACCGTAAGGAAGAAGCTTTCTGAAACACTTCCAAATCATTTCAGAAGTAGGTAGTTTTTGAGCTGCAATACCGTACCTCTTCAGATCATACCAGCTTCAATTCACAACACTGGAGGTGTATATGCATGCATTGCAAGTGTTCATATTTTAGAGATTTATTTTTACTGGATCACGGCGCAAACTCAAAATGGTTGGAGCTGGAGCCAAGCTACTCCGTTGCACCGCCAGAATACCATATGGTACGGTACTACCGTATGTGAGGCTTTCTCCTCAGTGCAAAGATCGGGGGTTTTCCTTTCTTTACGGTACTAATACTAACTTTGGAGAAAACATACCTTCTATTTACCTCCCAGATATCTTGAGCATAATTCTCCTCCCAGCAGAATCAAATAACGCCACCCCAGCCAAAGCCACCTCCAAAGCATAACTCCAAACTCCACCACCTCAATGTGCTGCTATCGAGACATGCTCTTATCGAGTTGCTTCAGCTTCTCTTCAACAGACACAGGTCCCTGCGCTCGTGATTGGGCCTTGCGATCTGCTGATGTCAGCAACAGGCCTGGTACGCAGAATACGTTGTTGTGGGAAGGGGGAGGGGACGGGGGGGGGAGGGGAGGGGAAGGGAGGGGAAGAGAAAGGGAAGCTAAGGGAAGGAAAGGGAAGGGAGGAGGGTGGGGACGGGAAAGACTAACGAATGGTGAAAGGAGAGGTAGCAGGAGAGGAAACGGTGATGCGGGGAGAGAGGGGGAGCGGGTGGCGGCTGGAGGGAGGAAGAGGAAGGGAGAGGAGAAGAGTGGAAACTGGCGTGGGGGAGGAAGTGGGGAGGTGGGAAGGAATGTGGAAGGGAATAGCGGCTGAAAGGATGAGAGAATCGGAGAAGCAGGGAGAAGACGGGAGCAGGGATGATTGGGGGCGACGGGTGGAACGAAGAGCGCACGGGAGAGCGCGCGGAGAGTGGCCGAGGAATGGACAGTGGAGCACGGGAGAAACACGGAATGAATGGAAAAAAAAGTTCAGAGGCGCGGGAGAAACAGACGACAACGAGACTGAGACGTGTTTGCGCGCTGGTTCAACGATCCCGCTGGTAACGTACCCGCTATTGTGCCGACGCCGCACGCTACGAGTACAACCTTTGATATCCTGTCGGATATCATGGCGGGAAAAGGACGAAGCAAAAAGCGAGCGCGGCCGAAAGGAGTAACTGCTACGAGACAAGGGGTGAAGTGAAGGGGAGGAGAAAGGGCGAGCCGAGAAGCGAAGGACGCAGCGCAGGCGAACGGAGAAGCAGGCAAGAAAATTGTCACGTTACGCGAAGTGGCGATTCGGTCGTGTGATACTGGAGCGTGCGAGGATTTGAGAACGTGAGGAGCTGCGTGCAGGAGCTTAGGAGTGCAGAGAAAACACGAGAGCAAGATGCGACGAAGCTAGCCAAAGGTATACAAAATACGAGTATGCTTTTCAATGTGTATTATACGTAAATCCTGTGACCCTCTATCGAGTACAAGCCACCACAAAATGTTTATGTGGGCGGCATTCCCCCAAAATTTAGGACGCGTCACATTTGAAAAACCGAGGAAGGATCGGGTTTGTTCACCGATCCTGCCAAATCGATCGCCACATCGGTGTGCCACGACTGAAAGTTTTCAATCGCGGGCCCACCGCAAGTCCCAAGTGACACGATCGGAAAATCATGGGGAAAATTTGCCCGATGTGGACGAATTTGCGCGATCGATGTGTGACAAGGGCACATCGATCGCCCGAGTCCGAGGGGACAACTGTACATTGGCGATGGATGACGAAAACAGGTAACCAGCATTTAACGACTTCGTGAATGCGAAACACCGATCTTTTGCAGGGTCGGTGTTTAGCTTGTGATGCGTCCTTAGGACGCGTCACAATTGAAACATCGATCCTGCGCAGGATCGGTGTTTCGCGGGTACAGTACTTCGTTAAGTGGTGAAAAAGTGGTTACTTAACTTCGTGTCTGTCGCCAATGTACAGTTGTCCCCTCGTAGTCACGCGATCGATGCGCCCTTGCCACACATCGATCGTGCAATTTCGTCCAGATCGGGCGATTTGCCCCAAGATTTTTCAAATGTCCCTCGAGAATTGCGGTGGGCCCCGCGATTGCAAAAATGCAGTCATGGCACACCGATGTGGCGATCGATTTGGCAGGGTCGGAGACCCCCGATCCTTCCTCGGTATTTCAATTGTGACGCGTCCTTAGGGATTTAGTAGCATTCTCTGAAATATGCAGGGCTCACGCAGTGCATACTATTCTCCGCTATCCAGTGTAGGAAGCACCCAAACGGACGAGCCCGTTAGACAGTCAGGCGATCAGAGTCCGACTAGCTGAGTCATTCGACTGAACGCTTAGGTGGTCAGGTTTTAGAGCGATTTGTAGGCTATCAAGTGACTCAACGTTTAGGTGATCAAGCGATTAGGCAATGCCTCTATTAGCTGCATCCCATCGCATTCCTCTCTCTCCTTCAGCCACCAGCCATAGATTCGCCGTAATTCCACGCAATCTCGCTACAGGGAACCTTCGCAATAGTAACTGTTCATTTAGCGCGTCGAGCAATCTGCTAGTCTCTGCGCCTCTGCGATTGTCGCCCGCGATATCGTCGGGAGTGTCGTCCGTTTTGCAGCGACGGTTTATCGCCATGGCAGAGGCGAGCGACGTCGCAGGGATGTCTCAGGCGACGAGTGAGGGGAGTCGCATGAAGGTGCTCTTCGTCGAGATGGGTGTGGGATACGACCAGCACGGGTGTGTCGTCGTATTCCATGCATGGGTGCGCATTAGTGGTGGTGGTGTTCTTTACCAAGCTTTACAGAACAAATGAGCTATCACTACCGTGTCCAATGTAGTGGTGTTGTGTTGTTATTTATCCTAGGCATCCATTTACCTCACGGCGCGCTGATCAGCACTTTTCCATCTATTCACCCCTTATATCATCCCTCCAATCATGGCTTGCCACGTGGCAGGCAGAATGTCACCAAGGCAGCGATAAAGGCGTGTCGAAACGCCATCACGTCCAACTCCATCCCCGCCTTCCGCACAGGTAGGGGGCGTTATCTTGATGCTCCCATCTCTCGCTCTTCCTTATGGTCTCTGAGGCAATGTCGCCTGGAATAATTATTCCACAACCGGGGGCTCGGCATACCAGGCCTGATTACGTCCTAGCCATGATAGTTTCCTTTCCTCAGTCTCCCCTCCTCTACCCACTCCTACCTCCACCCCCACCCCCCTTTAGACGTGTGCGTTTCTTCCATGCGCTACTGCTCTCCTTTCCACCCCCAGGTGCCATCCCAGGTGTATCGTGGCAGCAGATGAAGCTTCAGGTGCGCCTAGGCGTGCCCAGGGAGCTTCAGTCTGGCCTGGATATTGACCAAGTCAAGGCTGTGTTCCCCTAGTGAGTACCCTCCTCCCCACCCCCCTCCCCCGTCCCCCCCTTCCCCCTCTTCCCGCTCCTCCGCCTCCTCCTCCCCCCCCTACCCCTCATTCTCCCCCCCTTTCCCCCCTCCCCCCATCCTCCTCCACCTCCTCGTGCTCCTCTAACCGTTTAACTCACTCTCTCCTTCCGCCTCTCCATTTCTTTCTCGACCGCTCTTCCCTCCCTACTCTCCACGCATGTCCACTGATGCTGATACACATGTTGTGAACCTTCACGCACTAATCAAGCACGTTGTCATGTGTGCTGGCAGTGGTGAAATCATTGGCGTGGAAGTGGTTGATGGTGGCCTCATCTGTTCGAGTGGGGTGGCGCTAGAGGCACTTGGTGACCGCAATGATGACTGCTATGTTGTGAATGCAGCAGTCTATGTAGGATATTGAGCCCAGCGCTATGTTTTACACCTAGAAATCCGTCGATTGTTATGGCATTTTGAGTGTGTCAGCACCAATCCACACATTTATGCGAATGCGTACCGTATGATCTCTGGAGATTTGTGAATGCAGTGTTCATAAGGTCGATGGAAAATGCCACCAGCTTACCGTAATATGTAAGACATGTGAGATTTCATTTTGTTTGGATGCAATTATGCCTTGATTTATCGACGGTGTAGGTTCTCGATAGTTCTGGCATGGCCTAGGAACATTCCCCCACACCTTGAAACCTGACCTCAAACGGGGACTGACTGGGAACTTCTGAGTCGAAGCATTTGCCAACGTGTAGTTCAGCTCACCAGACACACCCAGCATGCGGCGTGTCTCGCTCTCCCCGCTCCACATAGTACACGAGACGTGGCCAAGCAGCCACCTCAGTGTTTGACCTTCGTGACTCCACGCATTTTCTAATGGCACGTAGGCAGACCGACACGCGTCTCGGACGAAATTCGATAGCACCAGCGAGCCGCTTGCTGCTCCCACAACACATAAATTCCCTCCCTCCCTTTCTTTCTTCACGTACTTCTATCGCTTCACAGCTCTTGACCTTCAACGCCTCCTCACCCGGTCTTGACGCAGAATTTTGCAGCAGAGCTCTAGAGCTATAACCCGTTGCGAACTAATAACAAGCAGCAGCACCAGCTCACTCCATCCACCTCTGCATACTCACCGCAGCTCTCTCAGCCATGGCTACTCTCGCTGTCTCTACCTCTGCTGCAGCTAGCTCCGCAGCGCTACGAGCGCGCAGCCTTCAGGCTAACCATCGCCGCGCTCTCGCCAACCCGTCCCTCGTCGCCGTGCGTCTCCCAGCACACAGAGGATCCACATCCCTCTCCACACCTGCCAACCTTACTGCACCCACGCGTCTAGCCATCCGCGCGGACTCCACAAATCCCTCCACGCCCGAGCCTGCCACCTCTCCCGCACCTCCCGCCAGCCCCGGATTCGGGCTCGGAGGTCCGGGGACGTGGTTCGGATTCGGATCGCTGCAGGAGCTCAGCGTGGGTCGCCTCGCTATGGTCGGCTTCGCAAGCGCGCTTACGATGGAAGTCATCACAGGCAAGGGCGTGTTCGGTCAACTCGGAATCGACCCCCTCGCGATCCGCTTCCCGTTCCTCGCGGGACTCACGTTTCTGCTTTTAGGAGGGCTTCTCGGCGGCTGGGTGGTTATTAACAACCCGCCGGATGTTTCTAAGGCGCCGCCGAATGCGGGCGCGGGCGTGCCGCGCGATCCGTTCAGCAAAAGCGCGCTCGACCCGCTGTTGACATACACGCGCGGGGTGGAGGTGGAGGGGGAGGATGGCAAGCCCGTGGTTCTTCCAATTGCGTCCGACCTGAAGCCGCTTGATAAATAATTCTCTAACGCCCTGTTGTAGAGCCAGCTTCCACTGGACGGTGGTGAATTGTAGGTCAGGAACTTATGTGGCTACGTTGATGCGGGAGAGATGTGGTTCCCATAGCCTGTATGTACCGCTCTGTACAGCTTGTAGTAAAAATGTTCATTTATATTTTGTGAGGGTTGAACTTCGTCTATGCCAAACAAATCACACAATTTCCTTATGTAAGAAATGTCAAAAAACACACAAATAGGACAACATGGTTCATAAGACCGCTACCCAGTGGCCACACTTGTTAGTCAGCATTTTCACCATTTCTCACCACCACCTTACACCAGCCAGTGTCTAGCTGGAAAACTAGAAGAGTCCCCTTCCCTCCCTCAGTATCCTTGGCTGTTGGCTGGAAAAGCACCAAACCCCCCCCTCACTACCACCATTGATACAATTCCCACTATATCCGGAAACTAATCCACCAATCCACCAGCATTTTGCCCCCCCCTCCCCATCCCCCTACATATCTAGATTCTGGACTCCGTGTAATAGCTCCTTCTCCTTGGCAGCAGGCTGAGAGAGCGCCATGCCTTGCCACAGCAGCACATTCTCCAAGCCAAGCCAAGACAAGCCAAGCCTCCAGCTCCCCTAAATATCAAACGACGGTACAGTGTTCAGCAGCTCCTCGGTCTCCTTGGCAGCAGGCTGAGAGAGCGCCACGGCACGGCACAGCTTGACGGCGTCTGCAGGAGTGACGAAGAGCCACTGCTCGCCTATCTCTGCTAACAGCTGCGCGTCAAACATCTTGCGCAGCACGTCCCTGTTGGCACTCGCCAGGCAAAGCTGTTGCAGGAGGGGGTGGTGGGAAAGGGGCGAAGGGGAGGGGATGAACAGGAATTGTGGCACCCAGGAGTGACGAAGAGCCACTGCTCGCCTATCTCTGCTAACAGCTGTGCGTCAAACATCTTCCTCAGCACGTCCCTGTTGGCACTCGCCAGACACAGCTGCAGAGGGATTGGAGGGAAGGGGATGGAATGGAGAAAGTGAGGGAGTGAGGGAGTGCAGGTCTCTCATGGACTCTATGGCCGACAAACCTGACCCATCCACATCACCCGGGTCAGCTCACCTGGATGCCCATCTGTGTGAGGTCGCAGTGCAGGTCCCTCATGGCCTAGACGGCCAGCTTACCTGAGTGCCACAGTCAGACCACCCGCATCACCTGATCAACTCACCTGGATCACGTGATCAACCCACCTGGATCACGTGATCAACCCACCTGGATCACCTGATCAACCCACCTGGTTCACCTGATCAACCCACCTGGATCACCTGATCAACCCACCTGGATCACCTGATCAACCCACCTGGATCACCTGATCAACCCACCTGGATCACCTGATCAACCCACCTGGATCACCTGATCAACCCACCTGGATCACCTGATCAACCCACCTGGATCACCTGATCAACCCACCTGGATCACCTGATCAACCCACCTGGATCACCTGCATCAACCCACCTGGATCACCTGCATCAGCTCACCTGGATGCCCATCTGTGTGAGGTCGCGGTGCAGGTCCCTCATGGCTTCTATGGCCGTCACATCGATGTCATGCATGACCGATAGGTCCAACACACAATGCTGCCAAAAGGTGGGGAACAGCAGGAGAGGGATGGAGGAATGGGGGATGGGAAGAGGTGGTCTTGAGCATTGCAGATCCCTCATGACTTCAATGACCGTCACGTCAATGGCATGCATGACTGATCGATCCAGCACACAGTGCTGCAGAGGGAGAGGGGGGCGGCGCAATGGGAGATGGGAAGGTGGGAGTTGAGTATTGCAGCTCTCTCGTGGCCTCAATGGCCGTCACATCGATAAGAGTATTCACCTTGATGCAGCTCGCTCACTGATGACATGACAGTCACCCTGGGAATGTTTTTTGAGAATTCTATGTGGCAATCTCATTGTAATGCCATGCCTCACTTTGACTGCCTGCTCGAACCTCCTTGCATACGGCGTACCGTCACACAGCGGATTCACCCGCTGCCTTACGGTGCTCTCACACGCCACAGGCAAACTCGCAAATCGCTCACCTTGACTGGCTGCTGGTATCCCCTTGTGTACGCATCACACAGCTTCTACACCCGCCACCTAACAAAGATCTGACAGCAGTCTCAAACATCTTCCCCTCACATTCACTGATCGTTCACCCTGGGGACTGCGTCAGTTTCAGGCTCACCTTGACTGGCTGCTGGTAACCCCTTGCATACGCATCACACAGCTTCTTCACCCTCTGCCTCACAAAGTTAGCTCCTTGGAAGTACAACGGGCTCTCCACCCTGAGCATCATGATCCCCTCACACAGCGCGCTGTTGGGGAACTGCAGCACCAGTAATTCACCTTGACTGGTTGCTGGTATCCCCTTGCGTACGCGTCACAGAGCTTCTTCACCCGCTGGCGCACAAAATTCGCTCCGGGGAAATACAGCGGGCTCTCCACCCTCAGCATCACAATCCCCTCGCACAGCGCGCTGTTGGGGAACTGCAGCACGCTCACGGCTGTAGCGGCGGCGTTGGGGAGGAGGCCGAGCAGGCGGATGTGCGGGCGGAGGGAGCGCAGGAGGATTTTGATGATGGAGAGCAGGATGGCGACGAGAAGGCCGATCTCGGGGGAGCCGAAGAGGATGGCGAGGAAGCAGCCCGACATGACCAGGAAATCCATTTTGTCTACTTTCCACAGGGCCCACGCTGCATGGAAGTCGAGCTGGGAAAGGTGGGGTTGGGGAAGGAGGAGGGAATGAGGGGGGAAGGAGGGGGTAGTGGAGAGAATGAGTGAAGAGGATGGCAAGGAAGCAGCCCGACATGACCAGGGAATCCATTTTATCGACTCTCCACAGGGCCCACGCTGCATGGAAGTCGAGCTGTTAGGGGCAGAATGGGGGAGAAGGGAGAGCACACGTGGGGAAATCAGGCGGATGTGCGGGCGGAGGGAGCGCAGGAGGAGCTTGATGAGGGAGAGGAGGATGGCGACTAGGAGGCCGATCTCGGGGGAACCGAAGAGGATGGCGAGGAAGCAGGCGGGCCTGACGAGGAAGTCGAGCTGGGAAGGGGGGAAGGATGTGGGGAGGATGTGGGGAGGATGTGGGGAGGATGTGGGGAGGATGTGGGGAGGATGTGGGGAGGAGGTGGGGAGGATGTGGGGAGGATATGGGGAGGAGGGGGTGCCGAGGGTACAGTGGGGGAAGCAGCCCGACATGACCAGGAAACCATCTTGTCTACCCTCCACAGGGCCCACGCTGCATGGAAGTCGAGCTGTTGAGTGAGGAAGAAGAGGCGGGAAGGAGGGAATAAGGAGGGAATGGAGATTGGAAGCAACCCGACATGACCAGGAAGTCCATCTTGTCTACCCTCCAGAGGGCTGCTGCTGCATGGAAATCGAGCTGTGAACAGGGGAAGGATGTGGGGAGGATGTGGGGAGGATGTGGGGAGAAGGGGTGATGAGGGTACAGTGGGGGAAGCAGCCCGACATGACCAGGAAATCCATCTTGTCTACTCTCCACAGGGCCCACGCTGCATGGAAGTCGAGCTGGTAGATGGGCAAGAGGTAAGGCAGGGGAGAGTGGAAGAGGAGGGAATACGGTGGGAATGGGAGCAGCAGGGAGACATGCAGGAAATCCATCTTGTCCACCCTCCCCCCAGGGCTGCTGCCGCGTGGAAGTCGAGCTGGGAAGGTGGTGGAGGAAAGGGGGGAAAGGAGAGCTTTGAGGCGCCAGGAAACCCAAAGAGGATGGCGAGGAAGCATCCTGAGATGACCAGGAAATCCATCTGGTCTACCCTCCACAGGGCTGCTGTTGCATGGAAACCCAGCTGGGCATGCGGGGTGGGAGAAGGAGGCAGATTGAAGATTGAAGGAATGAGAGGCCCAGCCCAGAGCGAGTGGATTTGGGGGGCGAAGCAGGAGGAGAAAGGTGGATTTGGGGCGGGTTCGAGAGACGGCGCGATTATGAAGGGGACCGAGAGGGTGAGTGAGAGTGGGATGGGGAGAGTGGGATGGGGAGAGTGGGATGGGGAGAGAGCTAAGGAAAATCAGGGTAGAACAGTTTGAGTTGGGGCTTACCAGGTTCAAGGCAGCGTTGGCAATGCCTGCTCCGACCACACACTACAGAGCGGCACATTATTTAGGTGCCGCGGAAACATGGGAGTTAAGGAGGGGGTGCGGCCTTACCAGGTTCAAGGCAGCATTGTCGATGAATGCACCAACCACACACTGCAGAGAGGTCTGTCTCTGAGGCGCCTCAGAAACACGGAAGGCAATCAGAGTTGGGGAGTTAAGGTTGGTTGGTGGGGGCTTACCAAGTTCAAGGCAGCGTTGGCAATGACTGCTCCAACCACACACTGCAGTGGGGGAGGGCGAGGGGACACATGGGGTGCATGTCGGGGGAGGGGGGGGGGGGGGGGGGGGGTTGGGAAGGGGTGGTTGAGGAGAAGGGAGAGAGGATGAGAAGAAGAGTGCAACAGGTTGACAGCATGTTTGTCATTGAAGGGAAAATGGAGAGCAGGAGAGAGGGAGAGAGGGAGAGAGGGAGAGAGGGAGAGAGGGAGAGAGGGAGGGAGGAAGAGCGGAAGAGGACAAGGAATGTGATGAAAAATTCTGCACTGCTAGTCCCCAATAAGATCGGATCGGATCAGCACTAGCAGCACGAGGGGCATGAAAAAATCAAGGCCTATGGGATCATTTTTCGAGGGGACGACAAAAAAAGGTAAGCAAGCGGCTGCGCACATTGGGGACGTTTTTGAAGAGCGGGGCGGCGACGAGCAGCACGAGCAGAATGAGGAGCGCCATGATGACCTGCGTGAGCGCTGTCTTGGCGCCTGCTAGCATGTTCACTGCCGTGCGGGAAAAGGAACCTGGTGGCATGCGGAGGAGAGGACAGTGGGGCCAGAAGGGGAGGGAGGCGAGTGAAGGAGGCAGGAATGAGCAGGTGTTGGCACGGCAAGAGATGGCTTGCGTGAGCGTTGTCCTGGCGTCCACTAGCACATTGATGGCCGCGTGGGAGGAGGAACCTGGAGGAGCGGGAGGAGAGGAGAAGGGAGGAACGGGGAGATGAAGGGAGGCAGTGAGTGCGTCGCATGAAGATGCCAGCGAGGCACTAGGGGCTATTTTTGAGACGTCTCAAAAAAAACCTCACTACACGTCGCATGAAGATGCCAGCGAGGCAGTAGGGGCTATTTTTGAGACGTCTCAAAAACAATCTCATTACACGTCGCATGAAGATGCCAGCGAGGCAGTAGGGGCTATTTTTGAGACATCTCAAAAACAACCTCATTACACGTCGCATGAAGATGCCAGCGAGGCAGTAGGGGCTATTTTTGAGACGTCTCAAAAACAACCTCATTACACGTCGCATGAAGATGCCAGCGAGGCAGTAGGGGCTATTTTTGGGACGTCTCAAAAACAACCTCAATACACGTTGCATGAAGATGCCAGCGTGGCAGTAGGGGCTATTTTTGAGACGTCTCAAAAACAACCTCATTACACGTCGCATGAAGTTGCCAGCGAGGCAGTAGGGGCTATTTTTGAGACGTCTCAAAAACAACCTCATTACGCGTCGCATGAAGTTGCCAGCGAGGCAGTAGGGGCTATTTTTGAGACGTCTCAAAAACAACCTCATTACACGTCGCATGAAGTTGCCAGCGAGGCAGTAGGGGCTGATGCAGATAGAATAAAATGGAAGGCAGGGGCCAGTGCACAGCAGCTGCAGCTTTGATACGTCCCCTCTCTGCACCGCACCACACCGCACTGCACCGCACTTGAAGTCACCATTCTGCCTCACCTGTTGCCACATAGCATGAGGTGAACGAACCGACCAGGTTCATTGAACCAAACGCCACCATCTGAAACGCAAGGCAGGGGGAGTGAGGGGAAGGGGGGATCGGGTGGGAGGGTGAGTTTGGAATGAATAAGGTGGCAGGAAAGAAGGAATTGACTAATAAAAAGACAATACGGAAGAACATATGCTTTCAAAACCCCACTTACCTCTATGGTACCTTCACGTGGTAACCACCTCACCTCTTTGTTACCGTCGAGGTGGTACCCATATAGGCTGGCAAAGGTACGGGCGATTCCCACAGACTCCTGCACAAGGGGAAGCACAAAGGGAAGCAGATGTCTTGAACACTTGATGAACCAGGTTACACACGAGGTGTCTCTCGGCATGCCCCAGAAATCAGCTCAAAAGATGCCTCTTCAGGAGCCTTGCACTTTTTTTTTAGCGCCTCACAAATCCTCTCCAGGTGCACCAGAAATCAGTGCAAAAGATGTATCTCCAGGCGCATTGCAACGATTTCAAAAGACACTGGGGGCTGAGAGGGCACTCAAGGCTCACGCTCACCGCAAGGGAGACAAGGCAGGCGATGAAGCCTACTGTGGCCACATCAGCAACATTCTCCCGCGAGAAATTGAGATAAGATATGGAGGAGGCCCCGTGCAGCCCCGTGGAAATCTTTCCTATCTGGGCAGGGCAACAGGGCCGAGGGAAGAGGGCAGAAGAGGGGCAAAAGGCGGCATAGGGTGAGGAGGAGAGAAATTGAGGTAAGATATGGAGGAGGCCCCTTGCAGCCCTGTGGAGTGTGAAGATTGGAAATTGAACAAGTAACTTCATTAGGAGAGAAAACGTAGCATACATAGTTGGAAGAGAGGCTTGGAAGGGAAGGGTGAAGGTGACCATAGGTTGGGTTGACCTCACTTGGGGGAGTGAGGCAACCATAGGTCAAGTGGGTTGGGTGTTGTCCACACTTTGTAGAAGTGAGGCAACCATTGGCCCACTTGGCTTGAGGTGACCTCACTTGTAGGAAGTGAGGCACCCATAAGCCAAGTGGGTTGCATTTGGGGGCTCCACCACAATTGGGTGGATTGGCACCCCAAAGTGCAAGACTACACCCAAAGTTGGGTGTAGTCCCAACCCAACTGTGCACCACAATTGGTGTACAGTCACAAGTGTTGGCATGCTACACAATATATATTTCTAACATGGAGATCTTACCTATCTGGACACGGGAGAGACACGAGATGAATGGAGAGAGATGGGAGAAGGTGGTGGGAGAAAATTGAGAGAAGGTGGTGGGAAATGGTGGAGGGAAGAAGGTGGAGGAGAGAAGTTGAAGTAAGAGATGGACGATGCCCCGTGCACCTCAACGCACGTTAACCTCAACACACGGCAATGGCTGGTGTGCTGCTTGTGGCAGAGAGGCAGAGAGGAGGGAACGCTGTGACAACTCACAGTGGGGATGTCCTGCTCGCTGATCCCTGCTGCTGACACGGTGATAATTGCACAGGAGATGTGGAATACTCGGAGCACGGTCATACCCTAGGGCCAAGGGGAACGAGCACAGCAAGGACAGGACTCACAGTGGGGATGCCTTTGTCTGTCAGCCCTGCAGCTGCCACGATGATGGTTGAGATGAGGATGGATGTGAGCGGGCCGAGCGCGTTGAGGTAGTAAAACACCTTGTTCTTGGGTTTCAGGTACACCTGTGGGGTGGAAGGGTGGGGTGGAGGGGTGAAATTGAGCCTCAAAGGGACTGAGCACTGGGCGTGAGCGGGCCGAGCGCGTTGAGGTAGTAAAACACCTTGTTCTTGGGTTTCAGGTACACCTGTGGGGTGGTGGGGTGGAAGGGTGGGGCGGAGGGGTGGGGTGGGGTGGAGGGGTGAAATTGAGCCTCAAAGGGACTGAGCACTGGGCGTGAGCGGGCCGAGCGCGTTGAGGTAGTAAAACACCTTGTTCTTGGGTTTCAGGTACACCTGTGGGGTGGTGGGGTGGAAGGGTGGGGCGGAGGGGTGGGGTGGGGTGGAGGGGTGAAATTGAGCCTCAAAGGGACTGAGCACTGGGCGTGAGCGGGCCGAGCGCGTTGAGGTAGTAAAACACCTTGTTCTTTGGCTTCAGATACACCTGTGGTGAGTTGGGGTGGTGGGGTGATAGGGTGAGAGGGGGAAGGGAGAAGCGGGAGGGAAAGGAAGAGGGTGGGTTGGCAAGGATGCATACCAGCAGGTGCACGGAGGAGAGGTGGAGGAGAGGTGGAGGAGAGGTGGAGGAAGGACATGCATGCCTGTGTCAGTGCTTTTATGTGAACCCAAGGCTTACCAGGGGGTGAGAGGAAAAAGAGGGGAGGGGCGGGGGGTGCGTACCAGCAGGCGCAGTGTGGAGAGGTGGAGGTAGAGAGGACATGCCAATAACAGTGTATCTATGTCACTGCAGTTCTCACAAGGGGAGGGAGAACGGGCAGGCAGTGCATACCAGCAGGCGCAGTGTGGAGAGGTGGAGGTAGAGAGGACATGCCCATGCCATGACAGTGCGACTACGTCACCTCAGTACTCTCAGGAGGATGGCAGGGACAGGGGGTGCAGTGCGTACCAGCAGGCGCACTGTGGAGAGGTGGAGGTAGAGAGGACATGCCAATAACAGTGTATCTATGTCACTGCAGTTCTCACAAGGGGAGGGAGAACGGGCAGGCAGTGCATACCAGCAGGCGCAGTGTGGAGAGGTGGAGGTAGAGAGGACATGCCCATGCCATGACAGTGCGACTATGTCACCTCAGTACTCTCAGGAGGATGGCAGGGACAGGGGGTGCAGTGCGTACCAGCAGGCGCACTGTGGAGAGGTGGATGTAGAGAGGACATGCCCATGCCATGACAGTGTTTCTATTCTATGTCACCCCAACTCCCACAGGGGGACTCGGGAAGGGAGGAGGGGCAGGAAGTGCGTAGCAGGAGGCGCACTGTGGAGAGGTAGAGGAAGAAGGATATGCCCATGCCAGCGGGTGCTACGTCAATGCAAGGTTTACGAGAGAGTGAGAGAGGGAAGGGGGAGAGGGGAAAGGGGGAGAGGGGGAAGGGGAGAGGGGGAAGGGGGAGAGGGGGAAGTGCGTACCAGCAGGCGCACTGTGGAGAGGTAGAGGAAGAAGGATATGCCCATGACGAATGCCTTCCACTGGAACTGCACGCATGGGGATGGGCATGGGCATGGCAAGGGGAATAGAAGGGCATGGGTTTAGGCAGGAGAGGTAGGCGAGAGAGAGGGGAGGAAACGAGGAGATACAGGGAAGGGGAAGAAGGACACGCCCATGACAAACGCCTTCCACTGGAACTGCAGGAATGGGGATGGGCATGGGCATGGGCATGGGCATGGGCATGGGGATGGGGATGGGCATGGCCGTGGGATTGGGAATGGCAGGCAATGGCAATGAGAAGGATGTAACACTGGGAGATCCGAGATTCTTGTAGGCACGGGCGTGCTTGCACAGCAACAGAGGTCCGCGCGATGTTCCTGATGCTCATACATACACATGCGTCCTGGCCTTTAATTCCACCCAACACCACTAACCTGGTAGCCGTATTGCACGAACGATGATGTTGACGATCGTCAGCGAGCACTGCACAGCACCGCACCGCACCGCACCCACCTCATAGCTGTATTGTACGATGGCAGCAATGATGCTGACGATGCTGGTGCTGAGCATGAAGTCCTTGTACCCCAGGATGAGCTTCAGCTGCTGCTGCAGTGCAATGGTGAACGCACAAAGCACAGCACCGCACATCTCCAAGCAGCACCTAGCACCACCGCACTGCACCCACCTCGTAGCTGTATTGCACGATGGCAGCGATGATGTTGACGATGCTCGTGCTGAGCGTGAAGTCCTTGTACCCCAGGATGAGCTTCAGCTGCTGGAGGCTATGGTCAGCAGGCACCGCACAGCACCACACAGCACCACGCAGCACCACACTGCACCGCACTGCACCCACCTGGTAGCTGTACTGCACTATGGCAGCAATGATGTTGACGATGCTGGTGCTGAGTGTGAAGTCCTTGTACCCCAGGATGAGCTTCAGCTGCTGGATGGCTATGGTGAGGGAACACCCCGACAGGAACCCCACGATGGTTGGCTGGTTCAGGAAGTCCACCAGAAATCCGAACCTGGCAAAACAGAAAATGGGAGTGAAAGACAGGCGTTCGAGAGAGAAGAGATTCAGCTGCTGGATGGCGATGGTGAGGGAACAGCCTGACAGGAACCCCACGATGGTTGGCTGGTTCAGGAAATCCACCAGGAACCCGAATCTGTTGGGAGGGAATGGGGGAGAGACAGAGAGGCTTTCAGGAGAGGGAGAGAGGGAAGAATTCAAGAGAGGTGAGGGAGCTGGTGAGAGGGCCGCCCGACAGGAACCCCAAGATGGTTGGCTGATAAGCCCTTGCGCTCCCCGGCAGAGCCCCATGATGAATTGGAAGAGGCCACAGAAGAAGGTGGGGGTGACGGCGAGGCTGGTGTAGAGCGCAGTTTGGGTAGCCGGGTCGGGTCGGCCAGCGCGCTGAGGGAGAGAGGTGCCGAGCAGCAGCACGAGCCCAGAAGCACTCACAAGCACAGCACATTCGTAAGCCCCTCCGCTCACCTGCACAGCCCCATGATGAGCTGAAAGAGGCTGCAGAGTAAGGTAGCAGTAACCGCCAGGTTGGTGTAGAGCGCAGTTTGGGTAGCCGGGTCGGGTCGGCGAGCGCACTGAGGGAGGTGCCGAGCAGCTGAGAGACATCAAGGCCTGTCCCAAGTACCTCATTCCCCTCCGTCCGCTCACCTGCAGAGCCCCATGATGAGTTGGAAGAGGCCGAAGAAGAAAGTCGCAGTGACGGCGAGGCTGGCTTGTATAGAGCGCAGTTTGCGTAGCCGGGTCGGCCAGTGGGCTGAGGGAGGTGCCGAGCAGCTGCGAGACAAGCCCAGTTGCACTCAAGAGCCCAGCACACTGACACTGGCAAGCCCAGCACACTCATCAGTCCCTCCTCTCACCTGCACAGCCCCATGATGACCTGAAAGAGGCCGCAGAAGAAGGTGGCGGTGACGGCGAGGCTGGTGTAGAGCGCTCAGGGCCGTGCTGAATGTAGCAGGAAAATTGCCTAGTAGTGTCACGGACACGCCCAGCACACTGATGAGACACTGTCACGCCCTTCTCTCACCTGCACAGCCCCATGATGAGTTGGAAGAGGCCGCAGGAAAACGTCGCAGTGACAACGAGGCTGGTGTAGAGCGCTCACGGCCGCGATGAGCAGAAGCACAAGCCCAGTCGCACTCATCAGTCCTTCCACTGACCTGCACAGCCCCATGACGAGTTGGAAGAGGCCGCAGAAGAAGGTGGCGGTGACAACGAGGCTGGTGTAGAGCGCCGGGTCGGTGGCGGGGTTGGCGAGAGCGCTGACGGACGTGCCGAGCAGCTGCGAGATGACTGACACGGGCGCTATGACGAGATGCTTGGACGAGCCCTGTATGGCGTAGAGCAGCGGCGGGATGAAACTGGTGCCTGGTGGGGTGGGAAAGGGAAGGGGGGAGGGGAGCAGAGGGGAGAAGGGGGACTGACAGGGGCGCGACGACGAGGTGCTTGGAGGAGCCCTGTATGGCGTAGAGCAGCGGCGGGATGAAACTGGTGCCTGGTGGGGGAGGGTATAGGGAGGGAGAGGGGAAGGAGGAAAAGGAGAGGGGATCTATTGGACATGCAGAGCCCTGGCGAGAAGGTAAGAGACGACTGATGTGGTGCGTTCACGAGGTGGACGAGGATAGGGAGGAAGAGGATGAGGAGAAAGGATGAGGGGAGAGGATGAGGGGAGAGGATGAGGGGAGAGGATGAGGATGGAGAGAGGGGATGGGAGAGGAGATAGGGGGAAACTCACGGAGAGCGAACTCGGCAGGCATGTTGGCGTACTTGGCGTATGAGACGTCCTGGTAGGGACGAGCGAGGGAAGAGAGGGAGGGAGGGCGCGGAGAAGAAAGGGAGGAGGAGTTACAAGAGCAGGCGTGAGAGGCAAGGAGATCCACAGTGAGGCAAGGAGATCCACAGAGAGGCAAGGAGATCCACAGTGAGGCAAGGAGATCCACAGTGAGGCAAGGATATCCACAGTGAGGCAAGGAGATCCACAGTGAGGCAAGGAGATCCACAGTGAGGCAAGGAGATCCACAGAGAGGCAAGGAGATCCACAGTGAGGCAAGGAGATCCACAGTGAGGCAAGGAGATCCACAGTGAGGTAAGGAGATCCACAGTGAGGCAAGGAGAGGCAGGATGAGAGCACGGGTGGGAAGACCCGGAGAGGATGAATGAAGGTCCCTCCGCACAACGAGGGGCCATGCCATGCCATGCGACCACACATCGCAACACATCGCCATGCCGCCATGCAGCAATGCAACGGTCACCACTCACAGCCCGCCGCCACACATCGCTCATCGGCCACCACCAGCAGCGCACAGAGCACAGCTCACAACTAACCACCCACAGCGCACAGCACACAGCACACGGCTCACCTGGGGGACGGACATAACGGCGATGGAAACTCCTCCAATAATGTCACCAAGCAGGTAGTACCGCCAGTCGAGGTGAATTGAGTTGACGTAGAATGTATCCTTGCTCACCTGTGTATCCTTGCTCACCTGTGCATCCTGACTCCAGTTCCCGTGTGCCGCCCACCACTCACAACCAACCTCGCATTGCTCATGGCTCACCTGGGGCACGGACATGACAGCGATGGACACGCCTCCGATAATGTCCCCCAGCAGGTAGTACCGCCAGTCGTACTCAGGCAGCCACGCGAGGATCGGGAACACGCCCTTGAGAAACACCCAGATCTTCTCCCGCCACGGCTTTCCGCGAAACTGCTGAACTGGATCTGCTTCCGGGAAGAACACCCACTTGAGCGGCATTAGTGACTCTGACAGCTCCTCCTCTAGAGTCACATCCGGCATAGGAACATTCCTGCCTTCCACGGAAGCTTCTTCTTCCTTGATAGGTTCTGGGAACGGGGATGGGGGGACCTGGTCGTTATAGTCACCTAGCTCGAGAATCGCGCCCCCGCTATTGTCACCATTGCCGGACATGTGGCTCCCCCAGGCGCGAGGCGTTTCGTTATAAGCAGACAGGGCGCTGCTGCTTGTACCGGACCAGTGCTGCTTCCCGCTCCCCTCCCCGCTCTCCACGCGCCTTAGCCTCCTCCCGCTCCCCGACCCTCCGTTAGTACTAGTATTACCCATTGCATCCGCGTTAACGACTGCCCCGCTATTGGATCTTGAAATCGACCTGGTGCTGCCGCTTCCGCTCCCCAGAGACCCCCGCGAACCCCCAGAGTTCCCATCCCCGTTAGTAGCATACCCTCCCGGAGTGGGATAGGCAGGCCCATGAGCTACACGCACTGGTGCAACGGCGCCTGCTGGGACTGCTGCTCCTGCTCCTCCGACCGCTCCTCCTACTGATGCTCCACGTGTCAGCGGTGCAGTGGTCGGCGAAACAATGCGATTCTCGTCGGAGTAGGATCGATGAAATGGAGCCGCCATGGCTTTCAACGGCAACTACGTGCGCGTGGCAGCACGGTTCAGATGTGAGAGGCTTCAATACTATTCGCAAGTGCTCAGAGCTGCTGCTTCATAGGTGGGTGGATCTGAGACACCGACTGGGCAATGCAGCTGACGAAAGCTGAGGCTTGACAGGGAGGTAGCAGGGTTTTGATACGAGCAGCTCGCATACGGCGGCGTGGATGATCTTATACCGGGACCGTCTGTAACGGACGGCGGAGAGAACGAGATGTTCTCGAGGTAGAGGGGACTGAAGGGACGTGACGAGTGGACAGAAAAGGCGAGAGAAAGGCCAGCTGCTGTTTAATGACAAGGGAGGGACCTGCTCTTTAGTTAATGAGAGTAACTTCTGGTTCTCTCAAGCCGTCTCAAGCCGACTATGCACCATTTCAATTTCCAACTGTTGTGAAACGTCTTCAAAGCGTCTCTCAAGCCGTCTCAAGCCGACTATGCATTATTCCAACCCGTGTGAAACGTCTTCAAAGCGTCTCAAAGGAAAAGACTCAAAATGTCTTTAACTGTCTCCGAACTTTTGGGACGGACCTCCCCAAGGGTAGGAGGAGCAGCGACTGGGGTGGGAGACTGAGATAAAAAGAGAAGCAACTGCGCATAGGACGGGGCTGAAATGCTGCACGCCATGCTCTAGGATCCGGCACGGCAGGAGTCGCTACAGTATAAAAGTTGTATTTTACCATTTTCCCGAAAGCGTACTGTTGTACTGTAGAGGTTGTGGAGTGAAGTGAAGAGTAGTAAGAACCTGGTCGATGAGTGAAGCGGCGCGTTTCGTAACGTGGGGTGGAGCAGAGGGGAAGGGATGCACAGCGATCCGCGATCATGGTGGCGGGTGGGTGATGGAAGCTTCCCCCGCGGACGGACGATAGACGGGAGATGGGAGAGGGAGAGAACCAAGAGCGCGAGAAACTGAGGGAGCGAAAACTGGAGCGAGAGTAGAGCGAAAGAGAGGAGGGGTTCTGTGAGGAAGAGAGCCATGGGAGAAGGGCCCAGGGCGAAGGGATTCGCGATTCGAGCAACTAGATGGGTGAAACGCAACTGTAGCTGGCTGGTTGCTTTCCCCTCCACGTCCAGCGACGAATCGCGTCGCACTTCACGGTACGACTGCACCCTAAAAAAGGGGGTACTTACTGTTAGACTATCGTTCCACGTGAGCAGCATAAGCACTACAGTACTACAGAGCTGAGCTCGCACTTCCAAAACTGTATGCATGTAGACTGGGCACAGAGGATGCAGTAGCAGTGGCTCTAGCATGCAACGCAGAGCGAGCGATTCTAGCGACAGCCGCTGAATGAGCTGCATCTTGACACGGCGAGCTCTCGCACAGTACGGTGCAGTGCGATGCAGTACGATGCAGTGCGATGCAGTGCGAGCGACCCGCACGAGTAATGTGTTCGGTTCGGAGAGCCTGAAGCGTACATGTCCCGTGGTTGAGAGCGTGTGAATCCTCCTCGTGCCATCTACATACTCTGCACCAGTCGCGTCCTGCTCCTATGAACGCCATTGCAATAAAAGCAACGGCGCTGGACGTTTGGCTGCTAGTGCGACGGGAGGCTCCAATAAGAAGCCTAGAAAAGGCAGGTTACCGGCAGCTTTTGCAGGATTTGTATGTACAAGGCGCAACGGAATCAGCGAAGAATGCCAACAAGCTATGAGCGTTGGGCACCTGGAAATGACGAAGACAATCCCAAGGTAAGTCGAAATTAGACGCCTCTGGGACTGTCATGGAGTTGGGAAGGCCAGATTCAGGGAACAAACTTCTGTTCTTGATTTAGTGCTGCTTCGTTTTCCTCCTCCGCAAATTTTCGAAAGAAAGCATGTAGAACCAGCTGTGAGGCTGTTTGTAACTCGGAGTTCGAGAACAAAATATTTTCCCTCTGTACATTAGATTGATCTGCCTTACTAATTTTGATCCACAACAATATATCGAATCATATAGAAGGGAATCGTGACTGATGTGTCATTTTGTCAGTTGAATGGGACTTGCAAGTGACAGGTCAGTCCTCTGCGATATGACACAATCCCCGCCGACATCTGGGTCCAATGAGTCGCAGAGACTCGTCGCGGGACTTGTGAATGTGATGGAGTCACGCCTAGTCTGCGGTCATTCTGCTCACGTCACATTCTACTGCCAGCATGTGAAACTCTGTACAGCTCACGCGTGAATTGTAGGGGAAGTTCCCATCGAAAATACTCTATGCGGCGGTGAGTCACTCTGCTAGTTCTCTTGTTGCTTGCTTCGAGATTCAGCGCATTCTCAAGTTTGCCCACCATCGAAGTTTGCCCACCAGCCCGTTTTTCCGAAGATGATGGTGCCTTTGGTGGGAACGCTCCCACTCTAACCACCGAACCTCATTTAGGCGGGCGACAGATGTCGCCAGCGTCGCATGTCCGATATCCAATGAAATTGACGCGCCAGCTCGCATCCCAAGTGTTGGAGGAACTTCGTCAGGCAAAAACCTAAACGGCCGTGCCTGACGATTGCGCCTGACATAAATTTTGGGCACAATGGTCATATCAAGTCAACGTGGGTTTACTTGGCAAAATCAAGTAAGCAACGCAGAAATGGGTTTCGTGGGCAGGAAATGAATATTTGTGACGGCTGTGTGCGCGAAACTGGCATGTCTAACACTAGTCCCAACACCCAGCAAACGTGGCACGATCTCCATTATTGTCGTACACCGACGGACAGGCCAGTAATTGCGACCATGGCCGGTTGGACTCATGGGGGCCAAACTTCGAATCGTGTGGGGGAACTTTCCAATGTAAATTAATGCCACGTCAACATTTCGAGTCGCGTGGGCAAACTTCTGATGGTAGGCAAACTTGGGAATGCGCCCTCAGAGAGAGTGTTGTGTACTAGCTACTCGACAACAATTAGCCCGCGTTTCAGTCATAGCAGGTCGTTCGAAGATCCTGGCTCGTGCAGCCCTGTAAATAGGTAGCTTCTGAGCGTCTAAGTTCATAAGTGCCGGGGCTTTGCGACTGATTACAGGCAACGTGGCTTGCCGTCTATCGATCTCCTGTTGCGCTTCCTGGTGTCGTTCCCAGTATCTCGTGTCAGTTTATGTAGGTCGCTGTGGAACAGCTCGCTCGCCCTCTCCCGTTTGCAAGCAGCCTCTAAAACCATAATCTTAAGATTGCGGTTCCTCCTAGGATTCAACTAAAGCACTTGCTATTTCTTATCAGGGATACATTTCTCACTCTCTATTTAGCCGAAACGACAGTGCTGACGGAACGTTGACGGAAAGCGGACGAAGCGGACGAATCCGTCGACGGAACGAAACGGCTCGGCGTCGAGATCCATGGACAGACTCTCAGAAGCCGACGCGACCGACAGTCTTGTCGGCCTGAAACCACCAGCCGACGCCGATTTGAGAGGTCCTGCCTCGTCGAAATCTGAGGCTCCTCAGAAGTTGAATCCTCCAGCCGATGTTATCTTGCACGTTCCTAGCTCGAGAGGCCTTTCGTCGTCGACTTGTGAGGTTCCACAGGAACTGAAAGCGCCAGCCGATACCATCTCGCGCGTTCCCAGCTTCAGAGGCTCTTCCTCGTCGATATGTTCTTTCTTCATTGGCGTGTACTCTCCCATAATTCGCCTAATATCGAAACCTCTGTCCCCGTTTGTGACTACAAAGTCGGGAGGTTCTTCAAACGAGTTGAGCAGAAGCCAAAAAAACACGCACGGCAAGGACTGGTTTCACGACATGTTGCTAGCTGTCAACGCGTTACTCCTTATACTCGTTATAGCACGTTCCGTTCCGCAATTATGGGTGGACCCGGCTGCTAACGGAGTGGGGGACATCGCATGTGCAGAAGGCGCGGCATCTGCGGGGGAAAACCCGCTGCGCGGGTCCGCCTGGGGGGGATGGGGGAAGGGTTGGGGGGAGGATTGGGGGAAACGTTCACTCATGGGGAATCTGCGGAAAGCCCTGGGGTACGGTGGCGGCGGAGGGTACGCGGGATTCGAGGGGGAGAGTTTGGGAATGGTGTTAAGTGGGGGGGAGGGGGTCGGAGGTCTGTATGGTGATTTCAGCGGCGGGAATGGCGGCGGGAATGGCGGCGAGAATGACGCACGGCCGGAGCAGCCGCAGCGGGAGCACGTGTGCTGGACGTCGTCGGGAGGTGAGGCGGAGTGATGCTCGCGCCCATGCTCGCGGCCATGCTCGCGCCCATGCTCGCGCCCATGCTCGCGCCCATGCTCGCGCCCATGCTCGCGCCCATGCTCGCGCCCATGCCCCTCGCCCATGCCCCTCGCCCATGCCCCTCGCCCATGCCCGCAAGCATTCCTGCGCCCATGCCCGCGCGTATGCTCGCCCCCGCGCCCATGCTCGCACCCATTATGGCGGAGTGGTGTTCGCGCCTTGCTCGGAGCAGTTCCCCCGTTACAGCTGCCTCCCTCCATTCGGGAGGAGCTTGCGCATGTCGCCGCGCGCGCGCATCATGCCATTTCTCCGCTCCTCCCCCTCCCCCCGCTCCCCCGCTCCCCCGCTCCCCCTCCCCCTCCTCCCCCTCCCTCCGCTCCCCCGCTCCCCCTCCCCCACCGCAGACTACTCCTCCCCTTCGCCCCCCGGAGTCACCATTCACGGGCGCGGCTGCGCCACGTGCATCCGCGGGCAGCGCTGCTCGTTCCGCCTGTCCGTGCGCGCGCCCGCGCGATGGGCGGAGGGGGTGCTGCATGCGGGGAAGCGCGGGTGGTGGAAGCGCGACGTGACTGTTACCATGCGCGGACCCGCCATGGGCGCGGGGGACGTGAGATGCCTTGACCCGCCGCGCTGCAGGGAGATGCGAGTGACGTACCGGCTGTGGGATGGAGGAGAGTACTTGTGAGTTCAAAATGGTGCTGTGTGGTGGGGAGCGATTTTGTGGGAGGTTTGCGTGGGGGTGGGGGAGTAGTGAGGGGGACATGCGCTGCCTTGACCCCCCGCGCTGCAGGGAGATGAGAATGACGTACCGCCTGTGGGATGGCGGGGAATACCTGTGAGTCTAAAACAGTGCTGTGCGGTGGGGAACCATTGGAGGGGCGGTTTGGGCGCGGGGGACGTGCGCTGCCTTGACCCCCCGCATTGCAGGGAGATGCAAGTGACGTACCGCCTGTGGGATGGCGGGGAATACCTGTGATTCGGAAACGGTGCTGTGCGGTGGGGAATGGTGGAAGGGAAATGGGAGGGATGTTTGGGTTCAGCCTTTTCCACCCCCACCTCCGCCCAATGTCGTCCCTCTTTAGGGCAATGGTTCACGTTGGGTTGCATACACACACCCTCACGATGTTGGTGAGGTGGTATTTCTGGCCCATCCACACATCCCCATGCCGTTCCATCTCACCACCATCACCACACCTCCTCGCCTCTCCCCACCTTTTCTCACCTCCTCCTTCTCCCCTCTCAGGGCCACTATGCACGTAGGCTGTGCCAACATCCGTTTCTCACCGCACCTCACCTCTCCTCACCTCTCTCTCCTCCTCTCCCCTTCTCCCATCGCAGGGCCACCATGCACATAGGCTGTGCAAACCTGCGCTTCTCACCACACTACTATCTGCACCTCAACACGACCTATTCTCCTGGCTCCTCACCTTCCCGCCTCATGTTTCCTCCCCCCTCCCCCCCTTCCCCTCCCTCTTGATCCATCGCAGGGCTACGATGCACATAGGCTGCGCCAACCTGCAATTCTCACCACTGTACTATCAGCACCTCAACAAGACAGCTCAACACGACCTCGTCTCCTGGCCCCTCACCGTTCTGCCCCGCACTGCACCCAACTCCACCGCACACGCTCAGCAACCCCACCTCTCCCTTCCTCAGCTCCAACCGCCAGCAGCACAGACAAACCCTCCCCCAGGCAGCCCGAGCCTATCCCGAGCCTATCCCGAACCAGACTCCGAGCTTCCCAGAAACCCCTGCGTGGGAGCCTCGGTCCAGGGTCGGTGGAGGATGAGAAACGGTCTGTACCGCTGGGAACCGTTCTTCTGCGCGCACAAGGAGCTGCCTGCTAGCAGCTGGATTGCTGCTCTGGAGCAGAGGAGCATTCGGGAGATCAGCATTGTGGGGGACTCGCACCAGCGGTATTTCACAGCGCACTTGTATTATCTGCTCATGGGACGGGCGGATATGGGAGTGAAGAAGTGGCGGGATAATCTGTTTTATTCCGCAAAGGATGAAGAGGGGAGGGAGCTGAAGATCAACTTTTACTGGATTGATGGGATCTACCGGAATGGGGAGTTTGGGTGCAGTCATCGTGGCGCCACAACCAATCGGACGACTCAGTTCCCCAACATCTCATCCACTGCTGACGTCACCCTCTTTGAAGGAGGCTACTGGGGTGCGTCTTTCTGCAAGCAGCCTCTTAAAGCCCTCCGGGTGTACCTGCGGGAGTTTGTGCGCTGGGGCATTTCCGCCGTTGCGCCCGGAAAAGGCCGGGTGGTTTTCCGCACTATCCCCTCGTTTGCGGTGAGGTGGAGCTCGTGTAATCGGTACAATGGCCCGAGAACGAATCGAGCGGGCATGGCTGTGAACGCACTCTTGAAGCGAATCGTGCACGGGGGAACCAGGAGAGGAAAAGGGCGCACAGGAGAGGGGGGAAGGAGGGGAAGAGGGGAGGGTGGAGGGGAAGGTGGAGGGGAGGGAGTGGCTTGGCAAGACCTGGACGAGAGCTTGCAACGGCTGCCTGGTGAAGAGTTGGAAAGAGGATCTCATGTGGGGGGAAATGACGCGCTTCGAGATTCATCTGCTGAGGCGGCTCAAGGGAACTCGAGAGAATCAAGAAATACAGGTGACGCAGATTCTTATTCCGACTCTGATTCTGATTCTTACAGGTCATTTGCCACACCAGCACAAGCAGCAGCAGCAGAAACAGCAGCACTGGCGGCTGAAAGTGCTGAAGGGGCGGCAGCAGGCGCAGCAGCAGACACAGCAGCAGACACAGCAGTAGGCGAGAAGCGGGCTGACACTGAAATACCAACAGGAGCAGCCACAATTCTGGACACGTGGCAAATCGACGCACCTCGATACCTTGACACGGCTATTCCCGACGACCACCACTACTCGAACGTGGTTGCAACTGATGACGGGGATGCGGTGGTGGGGGAGGTGGGGGAGGCGCATGTGAGGGCCTTCATTCACTATCTACTCTACATCCTCCCTCCTCCTGACAAGTGAGGCTGGGTCCTTTCATTCAGGCTGATTGACACGCCTCGATACCTTGAGATGGCTATCCCAGAAGCGGAGACCACCACTACTCGAACGTGGTGGCAACTGATAAGGGGAATGCGGTGGTGGGGGAGGTGGGGGAAGCACACGTGAGGGCCTTCATCCACTACATACATACTCCACATCCTCAATCCGCCTGCCAAGTGAAACCGACCAGCACCGCTCTTACCGCCGCAAAAATACCAAGTGTCGCCATACAATGAATCATGTACATACTGACCTGGCTTTTCTTCGTCCAGGGCAAATACAAACTATTACAGTACTTCGTTGACTTTTGAGTCGACTCAAAAGTCAACTTGGCTTCTCTTTGTCCAGGCAAAATACAAACTATTACAGTACTTTTGACCTGGGAGGTGGTCCAGCCCAGCCCAGTCTTGGTCCAGCTCAGCCCAGTTTTGATATGCAAGTGAGACAGCTCAGTTTTGTCCTATGGTGTGTGCACCTCCATTGGGTGTAGCATGCTTGCGAGCCTAACCTTAGCATTGCGTCCTGTTGCATGAGAGGTTTTGCTCTCGTCTCTTCTTGCGTATGAGAAGATACGTGGAGAGTATGTGGGGATCCCCCGCCTACCAGTCCTCTCTCTGTGCATGCATGCAGAGCGCATGCAGAGATCAGATGCTTACAGCCAGTGAGATGGCTCAGTTTTGACCTACTATGGTGTGTACATCGCGCTTGGGTGTAGCATGCTATCATACGGTATCCTTTGCGCTGCGTTCTCTTGGACGCAACTTTTTGCCTTTGTCTCCTCTTTGCTTGTCCTGTCTGTACATCATGAAACTAAATGTCGTGTGCTTTGCACTGGTATGGTATCGTATGCTTTAGTACATCTGACAGTAACTACTGTAAACTTCACACACAAATGCTGTTCCTTGGGATTACATTGATAGTTGCTGATTGACAAAGCAGCTGAGCTAGAAGTGCACTGCAACATAACAAATTCATACAGATCATTCTTCCTGGCAATGACCGTAGTCCATCACTCAGAGCTCACTCAGAGATAACTCAGCCTCTCTGTCATAGAGTTTACCTTGCCTTACTTCATCATACTTTAGTTGACCCAGCCTGACATCCTCATAAAATTTACCCAGCCTTACAGCCTCACTCATAGAGTATACCCAGCTTTACATCCTCACTCATAGAGCTTACCCAGCTTACCCAGCCTTACAGCCTCACTCATAGAGTATACCTAGCATTACATCCTCACTCAGGGAGTTTAACCAGCCCTACACCCCCACTCTTACAGTTTAACCAGCCTTACGTCCTCACTCCTCACCAACGGTCTTTACCCAGAGCGTGTCAGAAATGAACCAACCATCCTGCTTACAGCTTCTGCTCCCTTCCTATACCTTCCACACAGTAAGAATCTGCCATACCTGCGCAAGGCTTCAGCATATGGTCCGTGAAAGACAAGGAAACGGGAGGCTGTACAGATGATGGCCGTTGCAGCGTTATTCACGACGAATAAAACATCCCACTTTCCCGTCATTTCTCTTTCCAGTCTGCTGCTAATGCTCCTCCCTCCCTATGTCATACCGGCGACTACGGCGTGATTGTGACATCGGACCGCTCATGTTTATGCTTCGATCCTTCCAATCTTCCTCGTACTTACGATCTGCTGTCTTCTCCTCTTCTCTCTTCTCTCCTATCATAAAAGCGACCGCTTAGAGAGCGTGAAATCGGAAATACTCTCGCTGATCGACGCTGACTCACAAACCGACGTGTTAATCCGCAGCGAGCTAGCGCGGATCACGCCGCGCGTGCTGGCTCCATCCGTCAGCGAGGAGACCAAGCCGCTGCGATAATTCGTCGGGAAGGTAATCACGACGACAAGCGATGTTATGAAGCGGCGAGTTAAAAGGAATATCATTTCACGCCTAAGCTGGACGATCGTTCGGCTGTTCCGTGAATGGCGTTACTGAATCGTAAAGATTTGTTGTCTTAGCTGCATTTATAAAGAAGTAACTTCGTTTCGTGTCAGACACTTAGTACGCTGAGTTATCGTAAAACATATATATCGTAAAGCAGATGTACAAGTCCTAGCTGACACGCTAAGGACTAGAAGCGTCAACCACGAAGTTCTTGGAAGTTCTTGAGATCCAAAGCTGCTCGCCCGTCTTCTTGACCCCTCTTGGCCGCTAGAGGCAAATGCCTCTAGCGTTACACCCGCACACCACGTTGAGGTGAGGGTCATTCGTGCGGGACCCTGTTTGGGAAGGGGCGGGTGGGCGGGAAAAAAAAAATCTGAAAAGGAAGGGATGGTTAAGTTTACGATTAAAAAGAATCAGCTCCAGCAGAAGCTCCTCGGTTGTCAGAAGTTGCCAGGTTGAGCGGTGGGAGGGAATCGAGGAGGAGGCGAGTAGCCCAGAAATACCCCCCCAAACCCAAAAACCGTCCCAAAAATTCTACCCAAAAAAACCCAACCAGCCCAAAAAATCCCAAAAGTCCCAAAGATGAAGGTGGCCGATGCGAAAGCTGCGGAAGGGACGGAGACAGGGGGAGGGGGGATGGTGGGGGGGGGGGGGGGAGTCAAACACGTTGCTCGCTCCTATCTCCGGCTCAAGCTCCGCGCTTCAACTCCGCGCTCACGCACCGCGCTCGCCCCGGCCTCTCTGCACCACAGACGACAGACAAAAAACGTTAGATATTTCGGAAAACAAAAACGAGTACAGTAAAAGCGACGACACCATTACCAGGACCGCGCTGCTGATGACGTTGACGTCGGCGTAGACGTTGACGTTGTCTCCGGCAGGGGTCAGTGGGAAGCGAGAGGGGGCGGCGGAAGAGGGTATCCAGGCGGGGGCTGCCCTTCACCACCCTCTCCGCCACCCCCTGCCCCCCTCGCTCCCACAACCCCGCCGGTTCTTCCTTGAAAGCTTCTGACACTGAAGCACAGGGCGAAGCACGGTACCACGGCAGAGACAAACGCCACAACCAACAAGCGCGAAAAAGAAAAGGCGCGGAAAAACGCGAAGTACTGAAACATGATGGAGGAGGAGGGAATGGCACCAAAATAGTCGGCTCTGACAACGCGCCATCCGCCGTGCCGTCGCGCCATACGCCAGCGATTCCCGCGAGACGCCCCGCCGACGAGCCATACACCCACGATTCCCGCCAAACGCGGATCGTATCTTGGAAACTGAGCACATGGCGAAGCAACGGCATCACGGTACCACGGTAGAGAGAAACGCACAAGCAGCGGAAAAACGACGAAAAACCCGAAAAACAAGACGAAACAAACGATGAAAAAACGCGAAAGAGAAGGAGGAGGGAGTATCACCAACATAGTCGCCTCTGATCCGCCGTGCACAGCGCCATATGCCCGCGATTCCCCGCGAAACACCGCGCCGTCGAGCCATACACCCGTGAAACGCGCCAAATGCCCGCGAGACCCGCCGGCGCCATGGGCTTCCACTCCCGCCGTGTTGGAAACTGCTCACATGGCGAAGCAACGGCATCACGGTACCACGGCAGAGAGAAACGCACAAGCAAAAGAAAAAACGACGGGAAAAAACGAACAAAAAAAACGACGAAAAAACGATGAAAAGCACGAAGGAGGAGGAGGAGTCTATCACCAAGTAGTCGCCTCTGATCCGCCGTGCTCCGTACGCCGCACCGCGCCAACGCGTCATACGCCCGCGAATCCCGCCGAAACGCCGCGCCGTCGAGCCGTACACCCGTGAAACGCGGCAAACGCCCGCGAGACCCGCCGGCGCCATGAGCTCCCTCTCCCGCCGTGTTGGAAACTGCTCACATCATGGCGAAGCAACGGCATCACGGTACCACGGCAGAGAGAAACGCGCATGCAACGAACAAACGACGGGAAAAACACGAAAAAAAAAATACGACGAAAAAACGATGGAAAACACGAAGGAGAAGGATGAGGAGTCTATCACCAAGTAGTCGCCTCTGATCCGCCGTGCGCCATACGCCGCACCGCGCCAACGCGTCATACGCCCGCGAGACCCGCCGGCGCCATGAGCTCCCTCTCCCGCCGTGTTGGAAACTGCTCACAAGGCGAAGCAACGGCATCACGGTACCACGGCAGCGAGAAACGCGGCACAAGCAACGAAAAAACGACGAGAAGAAAACGAAAAAAAACGACGAAAAAACGATGAAAAAGCGAGAAATAACACGAAGGAGAAGGAGGACGAAATCACCAACGTAGTCGCCTCTGATCCGCCGCGGGTGATTCCCGTCGAAACGCCGCGCCGTCGCACGCCATACATCCGCGGGACACGCCAAATGCTCCGCCGACGTGCCATGCACCCGCGAGACGCGCTATAGACCGCACCAACGCGCGCTCTGTCTCCCTCCTTCTCACGCTCCTGCGGCACATCACTTAGGGACAAAACACAATAGGAAGAACGTTAGGTTCTTGAAAACAAAAGAAATAAACAGAATTGACGGCACTTACCAATTAAGGGAGATACTCCCTTTAATGCTCGGCGGCGTTGACGTTGACGTAGACGTTGACGTTGACGCCGGACGGGTCAGTAGGAAGCGAGAGGGGGCGGCGGAAGAGGGTATCCAGGCGGGGGCTGCCCTTCACCACCCTCTCCGCCACCCCCTGCCCCCCTCGCCCCCACATCCCCGCCGGTTCTTCCTTGAAATCTTCTTGGAAACTGCGCACATTGCGAAGCAACGGCATCACGGTACCACGGCGGAGAGAAGACCAAAAATGGAAAGCGACGACGAGAAATGGAAGCGACAAAAACGTGGAGAACCAACGAGAGAAGCGCCGGGAGAAGCGCCGGGAGGAGCGCCGGGAGAACCGCCGGGGGAACCGCCAGGGGAACCGCCAGGAGAAGCGCCGGGGAAAGAGCTGGGAAGCAAGCGGCATACGTCCGCAAGCGCCATGCGTCATCCGCCGTGCGCCATCCGCCGTGCGCCGTGCGCCATCCGCCGTGCGCCGTGCGCATGAAGAATTGCCACGCGACGTGCCATACACCCGTATGCCAATGCGCGGCCCATGCGACGCACCGGCGCAGCCGTGCGTCGCCGTCGCCGTTCTGCAGGAAGCGAGGAACACGTTAGAATAATTTCGTAAAAAAAAACTTGAAGAAATGTCGCGTTTAATGAAAACGAGGAAACACGTTACCTCATACAGAGCGAGACGCTGCTGGTGAGGCATCAGCCGTCAGAGAATCCGCTTGCGACGTGAGACTCGCCGTCGCCGTCCGCCGTTTGCGACGTGCGAAGGCACTTCACCATTCGTCCCGCCGTGCGCCGTCGCCATGTTTTCGTCCCGCGGCCCTGCCGTGCGCCATGCGCCTGCAAGAAATCATTCAGGAAAAATATCAGTTAAGAAACCGCCGAGAGGAAGGAATAACAGAACGAAACGGTCAAGAAGGACTGTGCTTTCGAGAGACACGTTACCTCAACCCACGTGATTCGGCGCTGCTGGTCCGTCAGCCGTCGTCGAATGAAGGTCCGTCAGCCGTCGCCGTTCGTTTGCGACGCGAGCCATGTCGTCGCCGTCCGCATGCGACGTGAAAAACGCCATCGTTTGTCGTCAACGGCCTCGCCGTCCGTATAAGCTTTTGCGCGGCCGGAGAAACGGTCGGCGAGGTCTGCAGGAAGACAAGGACACACTTTAGTACTAGAAATGGGAAAAGAAAAAGAAAAGGACATAAAACAGAAGGATCTATCGACGAAATGCTCTTGAAAGTCAACTCACCCCACTATCATCGGCGCATTCATGTCCACCGGCGAGTGCGACCGCGAGGCGTCCTCTCACATGCGAAAGCTCCGCAGGCGGCGAACCTGGCAGCGAAAGCTCCGCAATCATGACGGGGAAAGCTCCAGTCGGCGGCGAAATTTCCGCGATTACGACAGTCGGCGGCTAAGGTTCCGCGATTGCGACGGGAAAAGCTCCAGTCGGCGGTGAAGGTTTCTCGATTACGACAGTCGGCGGCTAAGGTTCCACCATCACGACGGGGAAAGCTCCAGTCGGCGGTGAAAGTTCCGCGATTACGAAGGGGAAAGCTCCAGTCGGCGGCCTCCGCGATCACGACGGGAAAAGCTCCAGTCGGGGATCTTGAATCAGGCTTCAAGGATTCTTGACTTGAATGCTCCAGTCGGCGGGGAAAGCTCCAGTCGTCTGCAGGAAAACGAGGATCGAGGTAGAGCCACGTCTGACGAAAAAATCAAGTATAAAGCATTTGTAGGAGGAGTTGAAAGGTGCGGACTGATTCAGAGCTAACCGGCCAAAAACGGTTTAAGAACGAAGTTATAAACAACAGCTTACCTCCAATCGAGCGACGATGGAGGTTGCGCCAGCAGCCACTCGAGCCATCGGAGCGCCATCGGAGCGCCATCGGAGCGCCTTCATAGACTTCCAGGGCTTGAACTCCTCGGAACGGCGAGAGCTCCAGTCGGCGGCGAAAGCTCCGCGGCCACAACTTCGAAGCTCCGCGATTACGACGGCGAAGCTCGGCAACTACGACGGCGAGAGGTTCAGTCGACGGCAAGATGGTCCCCTGCAAGAGAACGAGGATATGCGTTAGAACTTGTCAAGAATAAAACATTTGCAGAAAGAAGTTAAAAACTGCAAATTTATCAAAGGTTTAACCAGCAAAATCGGCTCAAGAAAGATGTTGGGAAATACTGCTTACCTCACTTGAACGACGGGAGATGCCGCGGAGCCGTTGGAGCGCCATCGCCGTCGGAGCGCAAGGGAAACCTCGCCATCAGAGCGTTATCGGAGCAACTTTCGGAGACTTCGAGGGAGATCGCGGCAGCAGGGAACCTCGGCGTGAATACTTTGCCGCATAGAAACTCCGGCCACTGAAGCTCGTGCAGTGGTGAGTTTTAGAACGGAGACCCCGTCGCGATGATTTCGCCGTGAAGGATCTTGGCGTGAAGATCACGTAGAGAACATCGCGCCGCGAAGAGATTGTAGCGGAGACCTCGCCGCGAGAAATCATGGCGTGAAGGTCTCGTAGACATAATCTCGCCCCGTTGAACTTGCGGAGGAGGTTTTTTAGATGTCGCGGTAAAGGGATTGCCGCGGAATTTTTGGAGTAGTACAAGGTTCGGCACTAAGGCAGCAGCAGCTCGCTCAGACACTCTAATCTACCCAACCCACCCCACACCCATCTCATCTAATCTACTCGACCTCACGCTGCCACATGCCCTCGTGCTTCCCCATGTACTAGCCAGGAGGCTTCAGGTAAGCTGAGTTGATTTGCTCCGTGGAGCTTGTATCCTGAAGTCCGAATCGAGCTCATTGGGTTGGAGCTTTTCGAAAATCCTTCATTCAAATCAGGAAGGAATCAATCGGAAAAGAAGGTTGAGAATGAGACTTGGTAAGTTCTGAAGAAAGGGATGGGTTGATCGATGGAGTTGCCTGCAAAAGCAGACTGCTGCTGGATGAAAGAATTCGTTTGTTCAGTTTGGTATATGGCCGCCGCGCGATGCGTCTCAGCGCGGGGTCCACCCAAATGTGATGGCCCTTTAGACTCACATATCTGATTGCAGTGCGGTACAACACGGCGCGGTTCGTCTTGTGCTGGTTCATTGCGGGAATGAATGACACTCGGCTGGGTTGCGCGGTGCGGGGAAAGAAGCGATATGAATGGATGGACGGATGGTGGTGGAGTAGCTGCCGCAACGGTGACGATTTTGCCGTGCCATGTCATGCGGCTGTGCTTGTGACGGCTTGCGCGGTGGGGCCAGAAACTCCCCGCCTGGGAAATGTCAGGGGATTCTCTTGACGGGAGATTCTGAGCGGCGCTTCGAGAATGCTTGGGGTAACATTCGAGGCCCAAAATTTTGAGCTGACGTCATCCAGGTTCCACCCAAGCTGTACACTCCCTTCACAGGTTGGTAAGTTCTGTTTTGTTTGAATTCACAACGTTGGTTCTCCTTGTGCTGGTGCTAACGAGGTTACCCATGGCGCGTACATTGTGGGTTTGGTCTGCTGAGCAGCGCCGATCTGCAACAAGGGTCGGGATAGGGCAGGCTATATTTTTTTTTAGGAGGCTGTAGACGTGGCACTTTTCTAACTAGATGAACTTTTGCGTGAGGTGCGGGACGGCGTTGGCGTGGTTATGAAGTTCGTGCGTGCCGCGGGAAGTTCAGCATTTTTTTCTAGGGTCAAATCTCGCGTTCCGTACTAGACCTGGGCAGTTGAAAAGATAAGGGGTGATCAATGTGATTTACGCGAGCCAATAGGGGATGACGTGCGTTTTTGTCACCCTCGCACAACCATCATCGCATTGAATCAACAACCCGAACCTCACAATATCCCACCTGCCATACCTAATTTCATTGTCCCGACCAACATTGTCTAGTTTTAGTAGTTTGGGTGTGACTTACCTCAGTCCCGCCAGATCGAGTCAGCGAAAGTTACTACTTCCGTCACCTTATTATTTCACCTGTGATTTACTAGTTTTTGGTTTGGTAGAATCAGAGCGCGATTGTCAGTATTACGTGCAGCCTCGCGTCGTCTATCTACGAGTCATTGCTAGCACCTTAGCTAGTTTCAGTCGCGCTGTAAGTCGTACTCCGGTGTTTGCTGCTTCGAACGTATAGAGCCTTGAATTGTAGTATCAGATCTTAAGAATGTACTGTTAGTTGCGCGCTTGAGATGTTCGTATGCGGTCGGATTGATAACACCGATTTGTTGGAGGCTTGAAAAGTGGAGGTGCGAGTAGCGTCGACCTCGAGAGCGCGTCCGTAGCGTCGCGAAGGTTAGGCGACGGTAGCGAAGGTAAGGCGACGATAGCGTCGGTGGCGACGGTGGCGACGGTCGCGACGCGAAGGTCAGGTGTCCGAGGCGTCAGTGAGGGGACGGTAGCGTCGGCAGGTGACGACGCCAAGGTGCGTTAACCAGGCGCACTAGTCAAGGCGTCGCGCCTTAGAAGCAAACAAGAAGGGTGACCTGGTGGAGCGTGTTGACAGTCGGAATGGCCTATTTCCCGTCCCCCTCCTTCCCCCTTCCCTCCCCACCCCTTCCCCCCTCCCTTCCCCCTCCTTCCCCCCTCCCCACCCCCCCCCCCCCCTTCTTCCCCGCTCTTTCCCCCTTCCTTCCCCCTTCCCTCCCCCTTCCTTCCCCCTTCGTTCCCCCCTCCTTCCCCCCTCCTTTCCCCTCCGCCTCCCCTCTTCCGCTTGTCCCTCATTCCCCCCTGACCCTTTTTTCAGGAACATGAGAGGGTGGTTTGCTGCTGTGATCTGCAATGTGATATTGAAAGAAATCGCCGAGCGGACCTGAAGCTGGCTGCGCGTGACCTGGCGGAACGCGGTGACAGGCGGAGTGGCCGCTTCCCCCTTATTTTTCCCCCTTCCCATCCCCCCGCGTTCGTCCCCCTCCTTCCCCCTTCCTTCCCCCTTCCTTCCCCCTTCCTTCCCCCTCCTTCCCCCTTCCTTCCCCCTCCTTCCCCTCTCTCTCTTGTCCCTCATTCCCCCCTGCCCCCATAATGTCCCAGAAACGTTATGCACCCCTCATGACTTCAGCTCTCATGACCCCTGCTCTCTCGACCCCGGCTCTCCCCTCATTTTCCTGCTCTCCCCTCGTCGTCCCCACTCTCCTCTCATCGCCCCCGCTCTCCCCTCTTTTTCCTGCTTTCTCTTCCACTTCCTTCCCCCTTATCTCCATCCGCTGGCCCCTTGATCCCCCATCTCTCTCCCTCCCCGATTTTTCCTCCACCTCTTCACTCACCCTCATCTCTCCTCCCTATCTCCGCACTCCCCCCCATTCACCTTCCTACTCTTCTCTCCCCCCCCCAACCCTCCCCCCCCGAGTTGCAATATCAGCTGCTGCAGCATCTCGCGCTTACAATCTTCTACCCCACATTTTCCTCCCCTCCCCTCTCCCCCCCACCCCCCACCCACCCCCCTCCCCCATTATCTCCCCTCATCTCCCTCACCCCACACCTACCTTCCCACAACCTAACCACCCCGCATCCACCCACGGCTCCCATCACCTTTCCCTCACTCACTCCTCATATTCCGCCGCCCTCCCCTCACCTTCCCCTCTCACCTCCTCATCTCTCCCACTCACTCACCCCTCATCTCGTCCCAACCACTCGCCGCAAGTTATAGCAGCTTGCAGCGATCGAACCCCTTTCCACCAACACTAGCAGCATGCCATTTACCATAACTCCTCTCTTGCCTGGTCTGGCACGTGGCTGCATTTGATTGGCTGGCAACAGGCGCTCCAGTTTCAGCTGTCAGTTAAGATCTATGGTCCGTATTGTTTTTTTGGAAACTGCTACTGTACTACAGTATGTGATGTTGAACCAGCACCTAGGCTGTTGTAATGGATTTTATGCTTGTATACTAGTCCTCCTCGCTCCACTCTCCCAGTGCGCATGCAGAGCGCATGGTGCCGGATCAGATGCTTGTCAGCGCTCCCACCCTCCTCTGCTCCTCTGCTAGTCTTCCTCACTCCACTCCCTCAGTGCACATGCAGAGCGCTTGGTGCCGGATCAGATGCGTGCCAACGCTCCCAACTTCCTCTGCTCCCCTGCTACTCATCCACGCCCCACTCTCTCAGTGTGCATGCAGAGCGCATGGTGCAGGCATGAACTGGAAAGTGGCTTTTCTGCCCATGTCATTAGACAGATGTCACTAAACACATGAAACATCCTGTGGGTGACTCACAAATATTCTGGACCATATTATCAGAAAGAGTTGAGTCATACATTGTAGATTTATAAGGTAGATGTTATGGTGTACTCTGTTACAAAGGGGAATGGTAGGTGAGGTGCTTACAAACTGGCTGTATCAGACACCCTGTTGCAGTTATACTGCCTATTTTCATAGCAGACATACTCAGCATCCTGACAGCTGCCATTTGCAGCTGCAATCCTAGAAGCAACTTGGATACCTCTCCTTCGCCTCCTTGTAACGTACAGCCCACCCTTTCACCCCTCCTCCCCTCCCCTCTGCTGCCCGTGAAGGCGAGAAGCTGTAACCTACTGCCATTCCCTCAGCCGTTTGCAATGGGAAAGAAGCACCAGCATCAGCACCAGCATCCGCTTCAGCATCAGCATCCAATCACCGTCACATGGCTACCACCATCATAATCTCGGCTGCTTGCTCCTCGCTCTCTGTAGCGCCCTGCACTTTTGAGGCGCCCCTAGAGGCATCGACATCCAATCAATCACCATCACATATCTACCACCATCATAATCTCGGAAGCTTGCTCCTCGCTCACTGTAATCCCATTGGCTTCCAACGCCTCTACCCTCTGCACCCACACGGGCTTGTGCGATGGGAAGAAGGTGATTTGCGAGTACGCGCTGAATATCTTGTGGAATTTACCCGTGGGGCGGGCAGGCCAGTTTTCAACGAGGTACTTGGAGAGTTCGTACTCGCTTTCGAACTGGTTCTTGTTGTACTTGCACTCGGTTACAAAGTAACGCCCGAGATAGTTGGAGAATGTTCCAGCCCACTGTGAGACAACCAGAGGAGAAGTGGGAGAAGAGAGGTCGGGAGAGGAGGGAAGAGGGAAAGGAAGGAGCGTGAGGAGTACGTTAGATGCGGGTCATATAGACATGTGCAGCATAGGCGGCAGACGTGGGAGGGCCTTGCCGTGAGAGATTCAGTGATTCCTCTGCCGTGTAAAGTCACAAAGGTACAAGGAAGGTTCTGGGTTCCACAAAGTGATGTTGGGAATAAGGATAATGGGACGAGGACAGGGAAAATGGGAGAAGGACAGAGAAAAGGACGAGGCAAAAGAGGACAGGGGGTTAGGAAATGGAGTGAGGTTGAGCTTTTTCATCTTCTAGGGTGTGATCAGGCCTCTCACCTCGTTATGGGCGATCTCGTGTTTCGGGTTCCACTCCCAGGGAGCCTTCTCGGGATGCCACTGCGACCCGTAGAACGGGAAATGCCTGCCCTCCACCGTCGACACGAACTGCGTGCCGTTGCGATCCTCGTCAACGGACAGAATGCGAAACACCTCGTGCGCTGGCGACGCGCGAAAGTCGTCGGGATGTACCCCCAGCCCGTGGTTGTTGAACGCGAGGTCCCCGAGGGGCGACGCGACCTGCTTGAAGAGCTCGTAGCTCATCCCGCCGAAGAGTCGCGACAGCCACCCGTCCGCGGTGAACCCGAGGTTGATGGCGAAATTCTCCGCGTCGACTTCGCGAATCCATGTCCCGTTCACGTCGTTGGCGAACAGCTGCGAAGTCGGGAACGAATGGGGGACATGGGAGGGATGGAATCTCGATATCAGTTGAAATCCTCGTCCATTACGGTTACTGGAGCACGCAAGCCAATGTAGCTGTTGTTTGTCAAACGTCGCACTGACTCGTAACATCCCACAAACCTGGAACATCGCAGTGACCTGGAACATCGCAGTGACCTGGAACATCGCAATGACCCGGAAAATCGCACTGACCCGGAAAATCGCACTGACCCGGAAAATCGCACTGACCCGGAAAATCGCACTGACCCGGAAAATCGCACTGACCCGGAAAATCGCACTGACCCGGAAAATCGCACTGACCCGGAAAATCGCACTGACCCGGAACGTCGCACTGACCCGGAACGTCGCACTGACCCGGAACGTCGCACTGACCCGGAACGTCGCACTGACCCGGAACGTCGCACTGACCCGGAACGTCGCACTGACCCGGAACGTCGCACTGACCCGGAACGTCGCACTGACCCGGAACGTCGCACTGACCCGGAACGTCGCACTGACCCGGAACGTCGCACTGACCCGGAACGTCGCACTGACCCGGAACGTCGCACTGACCCGGAACATCGCACGGACCTGGAACATGCGCTCGAAGCCGAGGCAAGTGCCCCAGAGCGGGTAGTAGTTGCCGTTGCTGTTCTCCTTGACGACGTGCTTCCACACGTACTCCGTCGTCGCCAGGTATTTGGAGCCCTCGGGATCCTCCTCCGTCGGATTGAAGTCCACCAGCCCTCCCGTCCAGAACACGCCGTTGATTCTGAACCACGCACGCACGCACGCACGCACGCATCGGGAATTGAGGCAGCTGTGAGGCGAGGAGAATGTGACGGAAATCTTATAAACTCTTCCTTCTTTGTTGACGGATCAGTTTGACACGTTACTGATTATGACTAACACATTGGTCGATGCCAGCATATGCGATTGCGATCGCTTTGATCCGTGAAAGCGGTTGATGAGTTAGAAGTCCTAGAGAGCGGTCTAGCAAGTACCCGGGAAGAATTAATATTCATCAGCGGAGATGACTCAAGCAACGTTCACTTGATCTCACCTATTGAGGATGAAGTCGAGCTCCTCCTTGGTCGAGTCGTAGAAGATCGGCACCACGCGCGCGCCGCCAGCCTCGATCCATCGCTGGTACGACGTGGCGAACGACGACACGCCGATCTTCCGCTGCGACGGAACGGTGATCGGTAGAGTGAGCACGCCGACGACTGGCCGGTCCGTGAACTGATGCGGTGGCCGGATGTAGTTGTCCTGCTGCCCGCGCCTGGTGAGAATCGCTTCTGACGAGAATGAGCTTTCCAGCGCGAGTGTTGGGAGGGAGAGAAACCCGATCACCGTGATGAAAAGTAGGAGCTTCATGATTACTCGTTTACGTAAGGATTTCACCAGTTGGAGGCTTCTAAACCCGTAGTGGCTGGGATCCAGCCACTCCAATGGTTTCCTTAAACGAATCTTTCAGCTGAAAAGGATCAAGATGCAACTTTGCCAAGGTGCTTCAAGCACTTCACGAGAACGAGAGCTGAAACTGAAGTATGAATTCCAGATATCTTTCTGCGGCTGAATTTGATTTATGACGGGGAATGCCGATGCGGGAGGAGGGACCGCATCTGGGCGAAGGGATGAACCACAGATGCACCACGGCATTGTCGCCTGGGGATTCGACGGATGCGATTAATCAAGAAGTCGCACGATTTCATTGCGACAGCATATGAAACCAATCGTTGCGTTCGTGGTCACACTTGCACTTCGCAGGATGCTGTTGTCGCAGGGAGGGGCTGTCGCTGATGGGAGGGGGTTACTGTTCCAGCTGGGCTTGGCAGATGAGTGACCATCAGCGTCGAGAAGGGGCGGATTTTCCGCGTGGTAGTACACGTGCTGTAAAGCGAAAGGCTCAGCAACGACGTGGCACTGAAGCTTTGGAGAGAGAATGCTCCCCAAGGTTCGCGGCGCCGAAATCAGCACCAGGACATGTCGCACAAGCCTGTCGCCGCCAACATTACTGGGGCTGACCTGCCCCTTTGCTGATCAGTTTGACAGACGTTGACGGAAATTCAGCAAACTCAGCGGCGCGCATGAAGAACTAGCAAAATTCAGGGAATTCGACCAATAAGAACAGAAATGGAAGTCAGCTTCTCCACAAATTACGGAGATCTGCTCCACCGCAGATTGTCAAAGTGTCCATAAGAACATCCCTTATGGGGTATAGCTGGTAAAGTATATCCTCCACACACAATGCTAACTGCTATTCAACAATATATGATTATTATGTGCTCTTTTATCATGTGATCAGGCATTATGTAAATTATGAGACTTGTATAATATATATTAATGCAATATATGTATGCAGGAAAGGATGTCTGCACAATAAAGAGGAGTAGAAGCTATTACGTGTATATCAGAGATATTTAGATATACACCAATGCACTGCTTGGTCAAACCGTGAGCTCCTGAATGCCTGGGTCTGCCCTCCGTCAATCCAGCGGACTCCTGATATGGGGCTCAGGTGAGGTCAGTTCAGGTGGTCACAGATTTGACGGCACGGTCAGCTCCAGGTTCCTGCTTCGGACAGCAGATCTATACAGCTAAGATGAGGCACATCCAGCCGTCCAATAAACTTGATCCGATGGTGGGTGGGATTGAGGTGCCGTGCCCCGTCAAATCTCCGTTCTGATGGATCTTCGATATCACTTCATCCCAAAAGGTTCAGTGTGTTTTCCAATTTTTTTAGTGTGGGAAAGTGCGGTATCGTGCGTTTCTGTGCAAGGTAGAGTGGTCTGGTGAGCTCAGATTCCGCTTTTTGCGCCTTTCTTTGACCAACCAAACAAGGCCATCAAGATTCTCACAAATGAGCTGCCAGACTTGCAATTATTGCTCTCCCCTAGCACACTTGTTCTTTGCTCAACAGGCTGGCTAATCCAAGCCAGGCATAGAAGCCAGTTTATTGTGGTCTTCTGTCACTTAGGAAATTGCAGGGCTTACTTATATGCGACTCGCTCAGCATTATTCATGTCAGAGGCGATTACTGGAGTAATCGCAGAGACGTGGAACATGGAGACCACATTAGGCGAGACGTTCGTCGACATCTTTATTCCATTGTCGGCGGCTCTAGGCATAGCATTCGCTCTCTACCAATGGGGCGTCGTAAGCAGGGTGAAGATAACAGCGCCGCTGAGCGTGTATGGCTTGGAGGATGGACAAGCGGATAACGTGGATCAGCAGATCGCGGAGATTCAATATGCCATTTCAACAGGTGCGTACGTCCGGAGAGATTAGGTACGTTTCAATATGTTCGTACGGCTGTGTAAATGTCTATGACGCTGGACTTGCTCCTGCGGTGCTCCTCGTCCGTACGGGTCAGCCGGTGCATAGGACATTTTTAAGGCCGAATAGGTGTGAATGTCTCATGACTTTTTGTCAGCAAAGGTCGCAGTTTACTGCTCCGTGTGGAAGGCCATTAACGTAACGCTACACAGCCTCTTATCCTCCGTGGTATTGCCAGGTCATTTAGCTGGGTGTTGCATGACGCTATAAAACATGTCACTTCCAGCATTTCCTTATGTAGAATACGAAAACAGAATTCGCGTGTACGTGTCGGCTAGTGCCCATTTTGCAAACCGCATTGAACGAAGCGCAATAGTCACCACCATTCTTTGTAGCCAGTCCGCTCATGGCGCTCATCAACGCCGGATTTGCGACATTTCATGCGTTTCATCGACACGTTACATCCCCGCGTTTCATCCATGCGGTCTCTCCGTGCCGCTTATCCACGTTCATTCGCATCATTCTCCCATGCCATCCGTCTCCTTCCCCTCTCTCCACCCAAAACTTCCACCCTTATTCTAGTCCTGATGATGTTTGTGTCTCCAGCGTTTGGTACCTGACATCGCTCGCAGCGTTCTTCCAGTGTTTCCCACCCACCTCGCTGCCCGTCCCCACCCTGTTCCGCCTCCCTCCTCATTCCCGCAGGAGCGACGTCGTTCCTAACAACGGAGTACAAGTACCTTGCGGCATTCATGGCGTTCTTCAGCGTCCTCGTCTTCCTCTTCCTCGGCTCCGTCAACTCCTTCAGCACGTCCTGGCAGCCCTGCCCGGACAACCCCTCGCAGCTCTGCGCGCCCTCGCTCGCCAACGCATTCTTCACCACCGTCGCGTTCATTCTCGGCGCGCTCACCTCGACGCTCTCCGGATACCTGGGGATGAAGATTGCCACATGTACGTAATTTCACCTAATTCTTTTCTCTTTCTCTCTCTGTCTCCACTTCGGGGTTCCCTCGCTCGCCAACGCATTCTTCACCACCGTCGCGTTTATTCTCGGCGCGCTCACGTCCACTCTCTCCAGATACCTGGGAATGGAGATCGCCACGTGTACGTCACTTTCCGTCATTCCCTCTCTCTTCTAGGCCAACACCATCGTGCTTCTCAGCCCTCCACTTGAGCTCCCACTTTACCGCCCACTCGTTCCCTCCCTTCCCAAACGCCCGTCCTCCTCCCGCAGACGCCAATGCGCGCACGACAGTGGAGGCGCGGCGCGGAATCGGCCCAGCCTTTGTCGTAGCATTCCGCTCAGGCGCAGTGATGGGCTTCCTGCTGGCAGCCAACGGGCTGATCGTGCTGTTCATCACCATCGTGCTCTTCCGTCTCTACTACGGCAACGACTGGGCGTCGCTCTTTGAGACCATCACGGGGTACGGGCTCGGCGGCTCCAGCGTCGCGCTCTTCGGGCGCGTGGGCGGGGGGATCTACACGAAAGCGGCGGACGTGGGCGCGGATTTGGTGGGGAAGGTGGAGCGGAACATTCCGGAAGACGACCCGAGGAACCCAGCTGTGAGTGGATGCGGTGTACCCCTGGTGGGTGGGTGTTTTGAGGCTCTAGAAGACATGTCTTGTAGGAGGTGGGAAAGAACGGCCTTCGTAAAACAAGCTGCAAACTGGCATGAGGAAGAAAGAATTTTGGGCATCCAACGTCCCCCCTCCATCCCCCCCCTTCCATGCTTTCCCACACGTGCTTCCTGTGCAGGTTATAGCGCACAACGTGGGTGACAACGTTGGGGACATAGCAGGCATGGGGTCGGACCTCTTTGGCTCCACCCCTTGCACGCTTCACTCATTATTCTCTTCCCACCCTCCCCCTCCCCCTTCCCACCTCTCCTCTCCCCTCCTGGTTCCAACCCCAGGTCATTGCAGACAACGTGGGGGATAACGTAGGTGACATAGCAGGCATGGGCTCGGACCTCTTTGGATCCTTCGCCGAGTCCAAGTGCGCGTCGCTCGTCATCGCGTCCATCTCCTCCCTGGGCCAGACGCACAACTTCACTCCTTCCCGCCCCTTCCACTCGCCACTCCTCATCTTCTCTTCCCACCCTGCCCTCCCACCCCATCTCCCCCCAACTCCTTCCTCCCGTTTGCTTGTTACAACCCCAGGTCATAGCGGACAACGTGGGCGACAACGTTGGTGACATCGCCGGCATGGGCTCGGACCTCTTCGGCTCGTTCGCCGAGTCCACGTGCGCAGCCCTCGTGATCGCGTCCATCTCGTCCCTGGGCCAGACGCACAACTTCACGGCCATGTGCTTCCCTCTCCTCGTGTCCGCGCTGGGCATCCTCGTGTGCCTCTTCACCACGCTCTTTGCCACCGACTGGTTCCACGTCACTGAGGCCCGCCACGTGGAGCCGCAGCTCAAGGCACAGCTGCTCATCAGCACCGTGCTCATGACGCCGCTCGTGCTGGGGCTGTGCTATCTCGCACTGCCGTCGTCGTTCACCATTGTGGTGGCGGGGGAGGAGGCGGACAAGACGGTGCAGAACTGGCAGATCTTCTTCTGCGTGGCCTCGGGTCTGTGGGGCGGGCTGCTCATTGGATATGTCACCGAGTATTTCACCAGCCACGCCTACTCGTGAGTGTTGAGGGTATGAGCGCAAAGGGTATGGTCTGAGTGGTAGAGGTTACAAGTGTGGCGGCGGGGGAGAAGGTACCCCTCGTATCTTCTTCTGCGTGGCCTCGGGGCTGTGGGGCGGGCTGCTGATCGGCTATGTCACTGAGTACTTCACCAGCCATGCCTTCTCGTTAGTATTTAGTCCTGAGAACTTGTCATCACTGCCAACTGATCATCGCCTCACTCACTGGCCCCACCCATGCTTTACACGTGAGTTGTGGGGCGGGCTGCTCATTAGTTATTTCATGAGTACTTCACCAGCTATGCTTACTCGTGAGTGTTTGAGTCTTGAGTACATGTCACCACTCATGCTCTACACGTGAGCTGTGGGGCGGGCTGCTGATCGGCTATGTCACCGAGTACTTCACCAGCCATGCCTACTCGCGAGTGTTGAGGGTTTCAGTTCGAGATAGGAGGGTTACCTTCTCCACCTTCCCTCCCCACTCTCTCCCCCCCTTCCCCCACCCCCACTCCTCATCCGTCCCCACCGCCCCACCCTTACCTCCCCCATCTTCCATTCCCCCTCCCTCTCGCCCCCCGCCCCTCCCATCCCCACTGCCTCAAACAGCCCTGTAAGAGATGTGGCAGACTCATGCCGCACGGGGGCAGCCACGAACATCATCTTCGGGCTAGCCCTGGGCTACAAGTCCGTCATCATTCCCGTCTTCGCCATCGCAGTCGCCATCTACATCAGCTACGCCATCGCCGCCATGTACGGGGTCGCCCTGGCCGCCCTGGGCATGCTCTCCACGCTCGCTACTGGGCTTGCTATTGACGCGTATGGGCCGATCTCGGACAATGCCGGGGGGATTGCGGAGATGGCTGGGCTTGGGGCGGACGTGAGGGAGCGGACTGATGCGCTGGACTCTGCTGGGAACACAACTGCTGCCATTGGCAAGGTGCGTGTATGGGACAGAGTCACTGGCAAGGTGAATACCTAGGAGGGAGTCACAGTGCCTTACCCCCTCTCATTACAGAGGGGCTTGGGGCAGATGCGAGGGAGAGGACGGATGCGCTGGACTCTGCTGGGAACACCACTGCTGCTATTGGCAAGGTGCGTGTATGAGAGTGGTAGTTCCTTGCCCTCATCTCGTTACCCCCTCCCAGTCTCACTACATATCCCCATCCCACTGCCCCACTCCCCTTTCACAGCACTTTTCCATCTTGGTACCACCACCCTCTCTCTCTGCTCCCTTCCAAACTCCCCCACACCTATCTTTCAATGCCAAACCTCTGTCTTCTCCTGCCTCCCCTTCTCCAATTTCCTGCAGGGCTTTGCCATTGGGTCAGCAGCGCTGGTGTCACTGGCTCTGTTTGGAGCGTATGTGAGCCGCGCAGAGGTCACCAACATCCTCATCACCAACCCGCAGGTGCGTGAGGGGCACACATTGCTTCCCATCATGACTATGTGACCCGTGCACAGGACACCAGCCCTGAGGTGCAACGGGCTACACACCCCTTCATTCACTGCTTCAGTTCCCGTCAAGTAATGTGAGCTGCGCAGGTCGCCAACATCCTCATCACCAACCCCGCTTGGGTTCTCATCCCTTCCATCCACCTCCCTTGCTAGAGAGTCCACGCTAGGTCAGCATTGCGATAGAGTCCACGCAACCACGCACCCGTGCAGTCTAGTTCCCTCTCGCAAGAGCTTATGCATTAGCACCTATGTGGTCAGGCCCACACCATCAATGCTCTCACCACCGGGTCCATTCCCCCCATCATTCCCCCCTTCCCCTCTCCCCTCCCCACCTGCCCACCTCTCATTTTCCCCAGACATTTGTTGGCCTGCTAGTGGGTGCCATGCTGCCGTACTGGTTCAGTGCCATGACCATGAAGAGCGTGGGCAAGGCGGCGCTAGCGATGGTGGACGAGGTGCGGCGGCAGTTTGACACCATCCCGGGCCTCATGGAGGGCACCGCCCGCCCCGACTACCGCAAGTGCGTGCAGATCTCCACCAAGGCCTCGCTCAATGAGATGCTGCCACCTGGCGCGCTCGTGCTCCTCGCACCGATCATCACCGGGGTTCTCTTCGGGACGGCAACGCTGGCAGGGCTCCTGGCAGGGGCGTTGGTGTCTGGGGTGCAGATGGCGGTGTCGGCGAGTAACACGGGCGGCGCGTGGGACAACGCGAAGAAATACATCGAAGCGGGAATGACAGAGCACGCGCAGTCGCTGGGGCCCAAGGGGTCAGAAGCGCACAAGGCAGCGGTGATCGGGGATACTGTGGGTGATCCGCTCAAGGATACATCCGGGCCGTCACTGAACATTCTTATCAAGCTGATGGCCGTTGAATCGCTGGTGCTGGCCCCGTTCTTCGTGGCTCACGGTGGGCTCATTTGGGGCAAGGCTAAGTGATCGGGAGTACCCAAGGGGTCGGAGGCGCACAAGGCAGCGGTGATCGGGGATACTGTGGGGGACTTGCTCAAGGATACATCCGGGCCGTCGCTGAATATTCTCATCAAGCTGATGGCTGTTGAGTCGCTGGTGCTGGCGCCTTTCTTTGTGGCGCACGGCGGGCTCATTTGGGGCAAGTCCAAGTGAGGGGAGGGGAAGGGGCGGGGGGGGGGGGGGGGGGCAGTTTGGAGGGGCAGATCGGAGTGTGTCCTGGTTATATGGGGCATTTGGTCAATAAGATGGTTGTTGTTGAGTCGCTGGTGCTGGCGACCTTCGTTCTTGCTCACGGCGGGCTGATTTGGGGCAAGGCTAAGTGATTTCGAGTCTACTCTCATGTCACTGGTGCTAGTGGCAGCAGCACGACTGGTGCTGGTAGCCTGTGGCCGTAGTTGGCACAGCGGTTATCAAGATTCACCGTTTTGAACCGCGACGCAACAAGAGTAGCCGCACGGAATGAAATGAAATGAACTGAAACGAACGCGCTGACTCCGCCGTAACACCACTTGTCACGTGTACAAATCGGCTTTCTTCCCACCACACCACACTTCCAGACCCAGAAAGTGTCAGTACATCTGCACTGTGGATGCCCGATTGATCCTGGAGAGGGTTACAGGCACGATCGTCTGGTGGGTTATGGGCGCACTGACCTGCTACTTAAACAAGCCCTTTTATCCCAATGATCTAGTGGTTGGGATTCTGACATGGTATCAGAGCGGTTTGGGGTTCGATTCCCGGTGTATGCACATGTAGGCCGTTGCCGCTGTGCTTAGTCCTGGGCCTCCCAGTGTGGGGGGGTGTCAGTAGATCTGCACTGTGGATGCCCGATTGATCTTGGAGAGGGTTACAGGCGCGTTCGCCTGGGGGGTTATGGACGCACTGACCCGCTACTTAAACAAACCCTTTTATCCCAATGGTCTAGTGGTTGGAATTCTGACAGAAAAGACCCGCCTCGAAGTTAGTATGCATTTGCATGCACGCCAGGTCAACGCTTACTCCGCCCTCTGGACTAGGTCCTCACCGGATTCACCTCGAAGTTAGTACGTTATATCCACGCAAGCACGACATCTTCAATGGCTCGTGACGAGCAGCATCCCTCAATGAGGTCTCTCGAATCCACTTGTTTTCAGTTTTCGAAGCTCACTTTGCAAGCACGGAACAGATCTACGAACTAATCTACCCGCATACTATCGCCTCGCTATCCGTGGACACAAACTAAGCTACCCATTTATCGTATTGCTACCCGAACAGTTCATCGGAACGACTTTCACGGTACGATTTAGTGCATGCGTAAGTGCGCGCGTGCGTGCGTCAGTGCGTGTGTGCGTGCGTCAGTGGGTGCATGTGTGCGTCAGTGCGTGTGTGCGTGCGTCAGTGCGTGCGTGCGTCACTACGTGCGTGCGTGCGTCAGTGCGTGCGTTCGTGCCTGCGTGCGTCAGTGCGTGGGTGCGTGCGTCAGTGCGTGCGTGTGTGTGTCAGTGCGTGTGTCAGTGCGTGCATGCGTTAGTGCGTGCGTGCGTCAGTGCGTGCGTGCGTGCGTGCGTGCGTCACTGTGTGCGTGCGTTCGTCAGTAAGTGCATGCATGCGTGCGTAGGTGCATGCATGCGTGTGTCAGTGCATGCGTGCGTGCGTGCGTGTGGCAGTGCATGCGTGCGTGCGTCAGTACATGCGTACGTGCGTGCGTGCATGCGTGTGTGCGTCAATGCATGCTTGCGTGCGTCAGTGTGTGCGTGTGTGCGTCATTGTGTACGTGCGTTCGTCAGTGAGTGCATACGTACGTGCGTAGGTGCATGCATGCATGCATGCGTGCGTGCGTACGTCAGGGCATGCGTGTGTGTGTCAGTGCATGCGTAAGTGCGCGCGTGCGTGCGTTAGTGCGTGCGTCAGTGCGTGTGTGCGTGCGTGCGTGCGTCAGTGCGTGCGTGCGTAAGTGCGTGCGTGCGTCAGTAGCGTGGGTGCGTGTGTAAGTGCGTGCGTGCGTCAGTGCGTGTGTAAGTGCGTGCGTACATACGTGCGTCAGTGCGTGCGTTCATACGTGCGTCAGTGAGTGCGTGCGTTCGTCGGTGCGTGCGAGCGTCAGTGAGTGAATGCGTTCATGCGTCGGTGCATGCGTGCGTGACCATAACCATTACCATTACCATTACCATTACCATTACCACTATCCTTACCATTACCATTACCATTCCCAATAGCATCACCATTACCATTACCAGTACCATTACCATTAGCATTATGTCAGAATCCCAACCACTAGACCATTGGGATAAAGGGGCTTGTTTCAGTAGCGGGTCAGTGCGCCCATAACCCCCCAGGCGAACATGCCTGTAACCCTCTCCAGGATCGATCGGGGATCTCACAGTGTAGCTCTACTGACACCCCCCCACACTGGGAGGCCCAGGACTAAGCACAGCGGCACCGGCCTACATGTGCATACACCGGGAATCGAACCCGAGACCGCTCTGATACCATGTCAGAATCCCAACCACTAGACCATTGGGATAAAAGGGCTTGTTTCAGTAGCGGGTCAGTGTGAAGAGTGTAGAGACCTGAGCCCGGCTCAGCAGTAAAGGTAGCAAGAGGCTGGTAAGAGTCTCCGTCAACACACACCGCAGTCTCTGCAGAAGGCTCAAACCACACACCCACGTGCTGACTCACGAGGGGTCGCACGCCCACCAAGTTCCGGGAGAACGAGGGGACGTGAAACCCAGTGAGAGACCCGGAGGGAGCAGCAGGACACGGTAAAGTGGTAGTGTGACGTGCAGTGACTGGTCCCGTAGTGGGATCAGCCAAAGCCACAGAAACAGGCGCAGGAAGTGGTGTAAGTGTCGTGCTGTCCCGGAAGAAGCAGTGTGAGGCTCCAGAGTCCAGCGTGAACGACAGCGAAGCGTCCTCTGAGGTAGTCGCTGGTCTAGAGTCTACACAAGAACCTACACTAGCAACAGGCAACTGAGCAAGACTAGCACCTAAGCTAACAACACCAGAGTAAACAGAGTCAGAAACACTAGAGTCAACAACAGCATACATAGCATGAGGAGCACCAATCAGATCAACTAACTGCTCAGCAGACATGCCCCACAGAGCGGAGCCGTAGCGCTGAACCAGAGGAAGCCAGTCAAGAGCAGGACCGCCAACCCCGTAGGCCAACCGGACCGTGTCAGTGAGCTGAGCAAAGCACTGACCAGGGGGGTGAAAGCGGCCACAAGGGTGGCCCCGACGAGGACCTGTCAGAACCTGATAGGTGCAGGGAGGGTAAGAAGCACCGCGCTGGGGCTGACGCAGCCCCGACCCCGGAGCCAGCTGCTGACGCTGCTGCTGCTGAGGCTGGCGGGAGGAAAGGGGCTGCTGCTGCTGCTGAAGGTGCTGCTGACGCTGAGCCTGGTACCACGCCGCTGCTCCACCTAGCGGGGTCGGCAGTACAGGAGGCGTCTGACGAGCTCGGGGGTCGCCGCCACCAGCAGGCGCAGTGGAGTCACCAGCCGCTGCACGAGGGGTCTCTCCAGACGCTGCACTCCCACCACCGCCAGTCGCAACAGCACCCCCACTACCTCCGCTACCTCCACCTCCACCAGAACTACCTTTCTTGCCCCCCTTGCCGCGGGACCGCGACGCAGTCGTAACAGCAGCTGCAGTCGCGTCAGTAGCGGCAGTGGCGAGAGAGGCACTGAAGGTGGGTAACTGCGGGACTGTGCACCCGTGGAAGAGTGGGGGGGACACAGTACCAGAGGCGGCAGCTACCGAGCGAAGGTTGCTCTCGACGTCCTTGAGTGCAGACTCAAGGACCTCGATAGTCAGCTCACTAGGGTGCTTCAGCAGAAGCGCGTCACGAACGGAGGCTAGCCGGTCAGGGAGGCTAGTGGCAATGAAATAGACAGTAATCGCCATGGGGGGAGGAAGCAGTGCAAGCTGTGCCTCAGTGCAAGCAGCGCGGTAACTAGCGTCGAGCGAGCGGAGGTGAGCGATCAAGTCAGCAGAGCGCTCAAACGAGGCGAGATCAGGAAACAGGAACGGGAGGAAAAGACGGCCAAGAGAGACAGTAGCGGGAGTAGAGTAGCGGGCCTTAATCGTAGTGAGGTACGCAGCAGCGGTGCGAACCTGAGTAAAGTGGACCTCCTCTGACTCAAGTTGGAGGCTGCTGAGTGGGATGCAGGCCGCAGCGTCACGCGACGTCCAAGCCGTCCGGTCAGCGCGCTGACGGGCAAAGCGAGCCGTAGCAGCGTCGTCAGGGGCAGAGCCTAAAGCTGTAGGCTCGGGGGGCTCGGGGAGGTCACCAGTAGCGTGCGACCAGAGGGTCTCGCCCCCCTGGACCTGACTCTCTAACAGACGGCGAGCGCGAAGAAGCCAGACGGAAAAGTCAAGTGGTCTACCGTCAGCGTCGAAACGAAGAACTCGCGGAGTCGCCATAGTGAGAACTAACGCGAACGAACAGGCAAGTAACAACCGGGGAGAAGAGGCAAATTAGGGTTCAGGTGGGAAGGGGACTCAGTCGCAGCGGAAGAGCGGGCTAGGGCGTAGGGTAGGGCGACGGGCTAGGGCGTAGGGTAGGGCGACGGGCCAGGGCGTAGGGTAGGGCGACGGGCCAGGGCGTAGGGTAGGGCGACGGGCCAGGGCGTAGGGTAGGGCGACGGGCTAGGGCGTAGGGTAGGGCGACGGGCTAGGGCGTAGGGTAGGGCGACGGGCCAGGGCGTAGGGTAGGGCGACGGGCCAGGGCGTAGGGACGGGACAGGGCGACGCGACGGGCCAGGGCGGCGCGATGGGGCAGGGTGACGGGACGGGGCAGGGCGACGCGACGGGGCAGGGCGACGCGACGGGGCAGGGTGACGGGACGGGGCAGGGCGACGCGACGGGGCAGGGCGACGCGACGGGGCAGGGTGACGGGACGGAGCAGGGCGACGCGACGGGGCAGGGCGACGCGACGGGACAGGGCGACGGGACGGGGGGGAAAGGGCGGGCACGACGTGACGGGGGGAACGGGCGCGACGCGACGGGGGAGAGGGCGCTAGGCTCGGTACTAGACGCGGTAACAACAGAACCAGTACGAACGAGAGGTAGGATTAGGCTCGGGAGGGACGAACGGAGAACGGAGGAACGGGATCCCACAGGATCCTAACCTAGCTGATACCATGTCAAAATGAGGAATGATGATGCCATTG